AACCCCCAAAACCCTAAACCCTAAACCCTGGATGAGCCAGTGGAGATCTCTTCTGACTCCTCTGGCCCAGCTGAGGGGGGTGACCCCGTCGCAGACGACACGGCGGCCTCTCGCCGCTCTCCGCGCTTGGAGACCCCCCCGGGTTTTCCGCCTCGACAGTCTTCGCCGCAAACCGCGGCCTGCTACTGTGGACACTGGAGCTGAGACTGCTGGTGCTGAGCCTGGGGGTACTGTGCCTGAGGTTGCCCGCTCTCCTCGCTTGGAGACCCCCCCTGGTTTCCCGCCGCGGCCGTCTTCGCCGCCTCAACAGCCTGCTGCTGTGGACCCTGGGGCTGCTGTTGGTGGTGACACTGGGGGTGCGGGTTCTGGGGGTGCTGAGACCGAGGGTGAGGGTTCTGGGGGTGCTTCGCCTGGAGGTGCTGACTCTGGGGGTGTTGCGATTCCTAGTGGCGGTGGAGCTGTGGGTGACCCTGCTGGAGGACGTGGAGCTGGACAGTCCAGTCCACCTGAGGCGCCCTCGCCGGAGTGGATCCGTGCGTGGATCGTTCGGCGTGGCAGTCCTGGTGGTGGAGGGCTCGGTCCTGGTGGTGTTGGAGGTACTCCTGGACGTGCTGCAGGTGCTGGAGGTGCTGGAGCTGCTGGTCCTGCTGCTGGTGCTGGAGGTACTGGAGGTGCTGCTGGTGCTGGAGGACGTGGAGCTGCTGGTGCTGGAGGTGCTGGAGGTGCTGGAGCTGCTGGTCCTGCTGCTGGTGCTGGAGGTCCTGGAGGTGCTGCTGGTGCTGGAGGACGTGGAGCTGCTGGTGCTGGAGGTGCTGGGGGTGCTGGAGCTGCTGCTCCTGCTGCTGGTGCTGGAGGTCCTGGAGGTGCTGCTGGTGCTAGAGGACGTGGAGCTGCTGGTGCTGGAGGTGCTGGAGCTGCTGGTGCTGCTGGTGCTGCTGGTGCTGGAGGCGCGTCCTGCTGCCGGTGCTGGAGGTACTGGAGGTGCTGCTGGTGCTGGAGGACGTGGAGCGGCTGGTGCTGCTGGTGCTGGAGGTGCTGGAGGTGCTGGAGCTGCTGCTCCTGCTGCCAGTGCTGGAGGTACTGGAGGTGCTGCTGGTGCTGGAGGACGTGGAGCTGCTAGTGCTGCTGGTGCTGCAGGTGCTGCAGGTGCTGGAGCTACTGCGCCTGCTGCTGGTGCTGGAGGTACTGGAGGTGCTGCTGGTGCTGGAGGTACTGGAGGTGCTGCTGGTGCTGGAGGACCTGGAGCTCTTGGTGCTGCTGGTACTGGAGGTACTGGAGGTGCTGGTGCTCCTGGTGCTGGAGGTGCTGCTGGGAGTGCTGGAGGAGCTGCTCGTGCAGGAGGTACGGGAGCTGCTGGTGCTCTTCGCCACCTTCTCAGTCTTCCGCCAGGTGCTACTGACTTCCCTGTGGCAGGTACTACTCCTCCGTTACTGTTTCCACCGGCAAACCAGTCACAGCCGCCGCTGCTACCGCGCTCCCCACTGCCTGCTCCTGCTCCTTACACTGCGGTGACACAGTCCTTGACTGAGCGTCGAGAGCCTGAGACTCGTGCTTCCACCCCTGAGCGTCGAGAGCCCGAGTCTAGCTTTGACCTTGAGCCCGAGCCTAGAGCTGCTGTCCGTGCTCGTGTTCCTCGTGTTCGTCGTCAGCGTGCTCCGGCTGTCCCGGGAACTCACGATATGACACTCCGTCCTCCCTCTGTTCCACAGCGTGTTGTCCTGCCGTTACCTCATGCGTCCTCTCTTCCTGACGTTGCTGACCCTCCGTCTGACCTTGCTCGTGCGTCCAGTCCGACTGTTACTCGCTTTCTTGCTACGGTTGTGACTGACCCTTCATTCTCGTCTCCTGCTGCGTCTGCCTTAGTCGCTGAACTAGTCGACTTTGCTGCTGCGTACCGCCTAGACTACCTTGCGAGTCTTGTTACTGACCCTATCCCTGCCTGTCCTCCGTCCGTCGGGGGTGAGACTGCCCTTGGCTGTACTGCCCTTGGCTGTGACGTTCTTGAGGACAGGCAGGAGGAGCCGGAGTGCCTTGCAGCCGCTGTACCTCATCTCGCTGCCATGCTGCTTGCCCCTGAGGGAGACCCGGATGCACTTGACATCCCCACCCCGCGCTCTTACAGAGAGGCGATCTCGGGTGAGTACTTCTCTCAGTGGCAGACAGCCATGGATGCAGAGATGGCTTCCTGGAAGTCCACAGGCACCTACGTCGACGAGGTTCCCCCTCCGGGGGCGAACATCGTCAGTGACATGTGGATTTTCAGGGTGAAGCGGCCGCCGGTTTCTCCGCCTGCCTTCAAGGCACGTTACGTTGCTCGAGGCTTCAGTCAGCGTGAGGGAGTTGACTTCTTTCAGACCTTCTCCCCCACCCCGAAGATGACCACTCTTCGGGTGTTGCTACACGTTGCAGCACAACGCGACTACGAGCTGCACTCCCTCGACTTCTCGACAGCTTTCTTGCAGGGTAGCCTTCACGAGGCCATCTGGTTGCGCCGTCCACAGGGCTTCACTGGGTCGTTTCCTGAGGGTACCCAGTGGAGTCTACGGCGACCAGTGTACGGCCTGCGTCAGGCGCCCTGTGAGTGGCACGACACACTGAGGACTACACTTGCGGCTCTTGGTTTCGCTCCCTCGACTGCTGACCCCTCGCTGTTTCTGCGCACAGACACTTCTCTGCCGCCGTTCTACATCCTCGTGTACGTCGACGACTTGGTCTTTGCTACTGCTGACAGTGAGGCACTGGCCCGCGTGAAGACGGAGCTGCAGAAGAGACACACCTGCATTGACCTGGGTGAGCTGCGGAGCTATCTTGGCTTGCAGATCACCTGGGACAGAGCACGGTGCACCATCACCCTGACGCAGTCACACATGGTGCACCAGGTCCTTCAGCGCTTTGGCTTTACGTGGTCCTCGCCACAGCCCACTCCTCTGTCTACCGGCCACTCGCTCTCAGCTTCACCTTCGGACGAGTCCGTAGAGCCGAGTGGTCCGTACCCAGAGCTTGTGGGTTGCCTCATGTACCTGATGACGTGCACACGACCTGACCTCGCGTACCCTCTCAGCCTTCTGGCTCGCTACGTGGCTCCCGATAGACACCGAAAGGTGCGCTTTGATGCTGCGAAGTGGGTACTGCGTTACTTGTGCAGTACATCGGGCATGGGGCTCGTGCTTGAGGACGGGGTTCAGTGGTACTCACAAGACACTCTGACGCTTCTTGGGCCGACGACCAAGCGACTCAGCGTTCGTCACAGGGTTACACCTTCAGTCTTGGCTCTGGTTCTGTCTCGTGGAGGTCCACTCGTTCTTCTTCTGTACTTGGTTCCAGCTGTGGGGCCGAGATCTACGCTGGGGCCATGGCTGCACAGGAGCTACGCTGGCTGACCTACCTGCTGACCGACTTGGGAGAGCGGCCTCGTTCTCCTCCAGTTCTGTACGTCCACAACAAGGCAATGCTTGCCTTGTGTCGGGAGCAGAGACTGGAGCACAGAACGAAGCACATTGCTCTTCGCTACTTCCTTGCGCGTGAGCTGCAGCAGCGTGGTCAGTTGCGCCTTGCTTACGTGGCCTCTCGGGCCAACACTGCTGATGTCTTCACCAAGGCCCTTGGGTCTGGTGATCATCAGCGTTTCTGCACTGCTCTTGGGCTTGTGCCCACTCTGCCTCACCTGCTGGTTGCTTGACTCGCTTTTGTTGTACACTGATTTATATCTTTATACCTGCATGTTGACTCTTGCTAGGTTGTGATCAGTGTACTGTCTTGCTATTATACCTCTGCATGTGAACTGGCCTTGTGGCCGCTTGCTTGTGCTCAGATTGTGTGGTGTCCTTGAGATCCACCCTGAGCTTTGCTTTGCTTTGTTCTCTTGCTTGACTGGTCTTGTGACCATCTGTTGTGTTTGCTACCGTATTCTCCCGGACATAACACCTTAGGGTATAGCGAAAAATACAGGGAAAAAATGGGGGGGGTCTCCTCATAGGAAAATTTTACATAATACCCGGGTCTTTACATATGGCATCGTTTAGTGTTAGTGTTTTTTTAATTAGACAACGTGGGTGTTTTGATGGTCGTTTTAACATCACTGTCTGAGGCGCGAATGTGAGTTTCGGCCGCGAACATCATCACCCCTATGTAAATTCCATGTGGCACCTCTCTTGCCACTTGCAGCGGAAGATTCACCTGCACGTGGCGACAGCGAAATAGTGGGAGGGGGTAAATCTCGGCAGATTGTAAGTGAATATACCGCGAAATTTCATCGAGGGAGAAATTCTCGAGATATTCTTCCGTATTGCAGCTACTCGTAACGACTATAACCCGAAATCCATAAGAAAAAGGGGGGTGTTACATAAAATCTGCCAAAAAGGGGGATATAGTAGAAACAAGGTCTATCATAACACCCACCCCGCACAAGCTACCCGGGGGTGTACAATTTTGGCGGGTGTTATGTCCGGGAGAATACGGTATCTCCCACTTAGCCTATGGGGGTGTGTCAAACTACTTTTGTACTTGTGTAGGCTGTAGTGGGTTAGCCTATGTAGGGTACAACCCATTTAGGGTTGGTACTTGTATCTTCACCTGCTCAATACAGCTCATTCCTGCACAGTTGATTCTGACAAAGGGGGTCTTAGATCCTAGGTATCACAGTAAAAGCAATGAAGCATGATCACTTTACGATACATGGAGCAAAGTATCTGCGATGTTGTGATTCACACTTTTCCATTACATAACTTGTAACTGGCAAGACGAATGCAAAAAACAAATCAGTGGAATTTATGGGCCTGGATCAGGCTTTTGAGTACATTGTTGGGTGTTAGGCATGTATGCTGCAGTTGCTGACCAGTGCATGGTGACACACCGGATGTGGCCATCCAGCGTGCAATGTGCTCCCTCTCATACGTGAAACCATCAGCTGCCACCACAGGGTCGCGCATAATTTCCTGCACAATAAAGGAACCGCAACATACCATCATATGGACCCAAGATAAGCTTAAGCAAAGTTAGGCTCATGAATCCTGACACGTGTCGTATAGATTGTGAGCAAAGACCTCGAGAGTTGTGCATACCTTCGAAATTGGGCAAATGAATTGCGAGTCAATCCTCTTCTTTCGTCTCTTTTCTTCCGCCAGTGCCTCTGCAGCGATCTGAGCCAGAGCTGGGTGGATGACCTCCGCCAGGTCGGGCCGCCTCTCCCTCCTGCGCTCCGCACACTGCAGTGCGATGCCGGCAGCCCTCTCCGCCAGGTCCAGCCGCCAGTCGCCCGCCGAGCTGTCCAGGTACTTGAGCAGCGCCTCACCCGCCACCGCGCCCTCCCCTGCGCCCCCTCGCCCGTCCCTGGCGGCCGAGTCATGCAGGTCCGCCAGCAGGCGGTGCACGGCCCGCACACTGCGCTGGCCCGTGAGCAGCTGCAGCAGGATGAGGCCGAGCGCGTACACGTCCGACAGCACGCTGATCTCGCACGTCTCCACCTCCTCGGGGTCGATGTACCCCGCCGTGCCGCGCACCTTCATGGTCATGCTGTCATCCTCACACAGCAGCCGCGCCAGCCCCACATCACCGATCTTGCTGGCCAGGTGTGCGTCCAGCAGAATGTTGTCGGGCTTGAGGTCGCGGTGCACAATGGGCGGCTCGTTCTGGTGCAGGTACAGCAGCGCCGACGCCACCTCTGAGAAGATGCGCAGCCGATCCACCCACGCAAGCGGCGCCGCATCGGGGGACTTGGGCGGGCCCAGCTTGTCCTGCAGAGTGCCGCCCGGCAGGAACTCGTAGACGAGCGCCATCTCCTCGACGCAGCAGCCCATGAGCAGCACGATGTGGGGGTGGCGCATGCGGGAGAGCACCTCCACCTCCATGCGGAACTCCTCTGGCCCCTGCCACCCCTGCCCCTCCAGGCGCTTCACCGCCACCTTGCACCCCAGCATCTCCCCGCGGAACACCATGCCGAACGACCCGCGCCCCAGCAGGTTGCTCTGCTCGTACCCTCCGGTCGCGCGCTCTAGCTGCTGCGGGGTGAAGAGGCGGCAGTCAATGCCGCCCTCACTCATGAGCTGGGCGGCGGAGCGTGGACTGAGTGGGCCGCCACCAAAGGAGGTGCGACCGATGGAGAGCCCCGTGGCGCCGCCGCTGCCGGGTGTCTGAGAGGAGTGCGCGTGGAAGCGCTGCCAGGAGAAGCGGTTGGAGAAGTCGCGCGAGCGTGTGGCCGCACCCGAATGGAGCTCTGTGGACAAACCTTCAAACCCCCCTCCCCCCCCCACCCCTGCTACTGCAGATGCTCCACCACCCGCGCCTGCAGGCGGCCCAGCAACGGGCGTGGAGGAGGCGTCGTCGTGGTCACGGCTCCAGTGGCGGTTGTGCGGCCCACTCAGGTGCAGCTGGCGCTGCTGCGACACCGACTGCCGCTGCACACCATACCGCATGCACAGGGAGGGCCCGTGGGGAAGGGATTGACATGCATGTACACACAGGAGTTGAGCTAACAGGTTTGCGCACACCAGTGTTGGTTGATACCCTATTAACCTATCATGCATGAAAAAATGCAATACTTGCAGCATCCCGTGCTGGGGATTACAGGGTGAACAAGGACAATATCCAGGAGCAGGAGGATGAGGATGAGGAGGAGGAGGAGGAGGAGGAGGAGGAGGAGGAGGAGGAGGAGGAGGAGGAGGAGGAGGAGGAGGAGGAGGAGGAGGAGGAGGAGGAGGAGGAGGAGGAGGAGGAGGTGAATGGGAGGGGGAAGGAGTGAGCTTTGCAGCAGGGGAAAAGATGGGGTGGAGTGGTAGCACAAGGGGGAAGAGGGCGGGGAAGGGAAGGAGGTGGGGTGTGTTGGAGAGGGGGGCCAAATGTGTATTGAAATCTGTTATTTTAAGAAGGGGAATGGAAGTCAGGCCCTATTTGTATTTGACATAATTCCAGAAATATATTCAGAAATACATAAACGTTGCAGTATTCAACGGTAACGGTGGCGGTACACAACATGCAAAGACGGGGAAGCCACTCAAGACAGAACGCATACAGTGGCACGAAGGTGCGGTGGGAAGGGGGTGCAGTGCATGGTGCGCATGAGGCATGCAGATCGCAGCTGTGAGAACTCACCCCGGATCGACTGTCTCCGCCTGCTGCCTCCATTCCCTTCTCCGCCAGGCGGTTGCTGCTCACAGCCTTGCCTTCCCACCGCTCGCCCCCCCCTGCTGCGCCCTCCTCCTCGTCCAGCCGCGCCAGCTCGTCCGCCAGCGACCGCGACAGACTCGCGCTCTCCTCCCTCTCCTCGCCCCTGCCCCCCCCCGCCTGCCCGCCCACCTCCCTCTCCTCCTGCAGTGCCACCAGCGGCTCCATGCTGCCGCGCCGCCCCGTGCCGTTCAGCGCAGGGGACAGCCGCGAGGCAGCGGCGGCGGCAGCAGCGGCGTCCAGCGCGAGAGCGTTGGAGGAGGCGGCGCGCGTGTGCTCCCTGCCGCCATGCGCGCCCGCCGCTGACGACCGGATGGGCGGCAGGCCCGAGGGCCGCGTCATGCCCACATCGGAGGAGCAACGGCGGAACCTCTCAGCGCTCTGCTGGTCCGCGTCCAGCGACTGCCGCGCTGCTCCGGGGCCCTGCGCTCGCCACACACGAGGCATGGCATGGCATGGCACGCATGGAACGAAAAGAGGGCTGTCACCGCGGAGTCATGGACACAGGCCATCGAGGTCGGTTGGTGCACGCCAGTGAAATGGAAGCAAGCAGGGCAGGGAATACAAAGCACTTACAGGGTGTGAGCTTGCTGACATGGCTGCGAGGGGACTGGCTCCCAGGGGGCTGGCCCCCAAGGGACTGGCTCCCAGGGACATGGACGCCAAGCTGCCCCTCACAGGCGACTCCCACGTGCCCTCTGCCGCGCCCTCCTCCCTGCCCGCGCCTGCCAGCCCCTGCGTGTGCAGCGGCGTGGATGCCCCGGGAGTGCCGCCGGAGGGCGAGCAGCTGCCAGAGCCAGCAGCAGCGCTGTGAACCACGCGGGCAGCGCCGTCGCCCAGGGGGCTGCCCGGGGCGGGAAGGGCGGAGGGGTCGGGGGGAGTGCAGTCGGGTACGGCCCCGGGCACGGAGAACTGGCCGCTGGAGTGCAGGCTGGAGGTGTCACTGGCGGCGGAGAGGGATGTGGGCATGGTGCGGTGGGCGGCGGGCGACGAGCAGGACGACGGCAGGAGGGCGCCTGGCAGCGCTCCGTTGTGGTGGGAGGAGTCGGGCGTGGCGGCGCTGGAGTCGGGCGAGTGCAGCGAGGGGGTGGCAGAGGCGTTGAAGCGGCAGGCAATGAAGGCGTTGGGCGGGATGGTGAAGGTGGCGTTGGTCCCTCCCGTGCCGGGCAGCGAGTGCATCTTCTTTGCGCCCTGCGCCACCACCAGCGTGCATGATGACGGCAGCAGCGACTGGTACGTTGATGACGATGACGACCAGCTCAGCATCTTCCTGCACACAGCGCACAGCACACAGCACACAGCACGCAGGGCAACACACACCACGCCCGCAACACACACTGCTCGCTCATGCATAATCCATCACTCTTTGGTGATAAAACAACGAAGACAGCAATTACAGGAACCACAGTCCATATTCGTGGTGCATGAGGCGCCTAAAGAGAGTGAGTGAGCGCAATGCAATGGTGAGCGTGTGGGGTGGGGGCGATGCAGAGCAGAGGCAGAGGCGCACTTGCGGGCGGCGATGTAGACACGGTCAGCGTTGGCTCGCCTGGCCGCCGCACACAACCCCTGCTCGCGCGAGTCGTTGCGCTCCAACGCCGCACTGCAGTGCACCTGCGGGCGCCCACACACGCCCACGCCCACGCCCATGCCCACGCCCATGCCCACGCCCATGCCCACGCCCATGCCCACGCCCACGCACACGCACACGCCCACACACATGCACACGCACCCGCACATGCACATGCACGCACACACGCACACGCACACGCACACGCACATGCACACGCCCATGCCCACTCCCACGCCCATAACCACGCCCACGCACACGCATATGCAGACGAGAGGGGCAGGCACGTGGAGCACGAGTTTGGGAAAGCACGCGGGCGGCATTGTTTCATGCCGATCAGAGGGAATAGGGAGGGCGGAGGGCGGAGGGAGAAAGGACGCGGGGACGGGGAGAGCGGGAGGTGAAGAGGGAGTGAGGGCAAGAGGAGAGGAGCTGGGAACGAGTGACGCGGGCGGCGAGCGGAGGGAGGGCGCGGTGGGGGAGCGGAGGGAGGGCGCGGTGGGGGAGCGGAGGGAGGGCGCGTGTGGGGGAGCGGAGGGAGGGCGCGGTGGGGAAGCGGAGGGAGGGCGCGGTTGGGGGAGTGGAGGGAGGGGTTGGTTGGGGTTGGAGCGCACGTGTTTGGCCTTGGCGTAGGCGAGGACGGGCCGCAGCATGACCTCCACGAGGCGCCGGCCGTGCTCCATCGCCGTCTTGGGGTCCACCTCGCTCGCCGGCAGCTCCATCCCGCCTGCTCCGCGCGCGCGCGAGACAAAGAGGGGAGGCGGGAAACGGAGGGTGTGAGGGGCAGAAGGTGAGGGTGTCGCTTCCGGAGAGCGCGAAACATCACAACGGGATGGGCAGACGAGGAGGTTGGGTGGAAAGGCGGGGGAGGGGGGGTGTGGAAGAAATGCGGAGGAGGGGGAAGTCGGAAGTAGATCACGGGACACGTGAGGCGCGCGCGACCCTGGCATGCGCGCGATGCTGCTGCGCGGCGGGCGGCACGTCGCGACGCAGCCTGATCTCTGCTCTCGCCGTAGCATCGCGAGCCCGCAGCCCGGAGGAAGCAGTGAGTGCGTTGGCCGCGGTCAAACAAGAGCACGGCGACGAAACGGGCGCGACGAACGGCGAGAGGAGAGAGAGGGCGGAGTTGAGCGGAGCTAGTGGGAGAACGGTGCGACGCACGCGAGCAGGGCACTTCGGTCATGACGTGCACGACGAGAATGTTCGCCGCGCGCCCCTGCGACGCCGACTGCGCGAGCGCGAGGGAGTCGGCGATGGCGAGGCAGAGCGCGTCCTTGCTCTGATCCTTGTACTTGGTCACCTCCACCACCCACGTCGCCGCCGCCGTCGCCTCCATCGCCGCCACTCCGCGACGCGCAACTGCACGGCCCGGCTGCAGGTGCAACGGTCATGAGATGTATAGGTGCTATCGGGCACTTGACGCGAGAGTCGCCAGATAAGGGTGTTGAACGAGGGAAGTGAGGTGTCGCTAACCCTAGACTGATGTCTCGAACAAAAGCCGGCACCCTCCTCGTGTGTCTGCGATAGACTGCTGTACCTGATGGGTGCAGTGCAGTTACGTGCATTCGTAAACGAACTACGGTACTAACGTCAATTCTATAAATAATAATTATATAGTATGGTACTCCAACTCATACCGGTATGTGCAGTTAAATCGTCTTGTTCACATACATAAACTTTTAAGCCACGCCCTGCAGCATCTGCAGCAATTCCCACACCATTAGCGCCACGACCGACAATACATACGTCATAATAGTGCTGTTGTTTGCTCTGCATTTGCTGTGCGTGGTACAGTTGCGTTGTACTATCCTTTGTACGGGCTTGTTGTTCTGATATTCGACCTAGTGCCTCAAACACCATCACCTCACCACCACGTAATTAGGTTCAGGAATGCACAAGTAAAAAAATGTGAGTGCAATACGAGTCAAACAGTACGGTAAATACGAGGGAATGTCATTTCAGGCAGATAACCAAGAGAATGCCTTCCCAAGTCAGCAGCCAATGCAGACAAGCCAGCAGCACAGCAAACCCTAAACGGCTCTGACACTGCAGAAAACATGGTACCGTATTACCCCGGATAAAAGCGCAGGTGCGCTTATAATAAAACCGTGTTTTTTTTGGGGGTGCACTTCTAATTGAGGTGTCTGTATAAGCGCATGCGCATATAATAAGGGAAAAATGAAATTCACTTTAAAACATACTAAACTGAAGCCCGCAATAAGGCGAATCCAACGGACCATGCAACAGATAGTGCGTGGTTTTCAGGCAAAAACAGCTGCGGTTCGGTTTCCCACCGCACAAAGTTGTCTAGAACCATCAAAAGTGACAGCAGTGACGGGGATGTTGCCGTGCGGCCCAATCACAGCCGCATGCGCTGCGTGGCATCTGCATTTCTTCCAAACCCTCTCGAAGGGTGGGGAAGATTCCCTGCCAGCGCAGAGAATATGCTGCCACGCATGCTCATCTACGGGGGTAGGCGGGGGTTTCCTGCCTGACATTGACGAGGACCCAGAGCCGCTAGCCCGCAGGGGTCCCCGTCGTTGCCCATTTCTGCACCCTCCTCCTCATTTTTTTCATCCAGTTTCTAGTCTAGCCCGCCTGGCTGGCGAAGCCATGGCAGAATTCAGTGGGACGCACTTCCTTTTCAAGAAGAAACCAACTCGCGCGTGGCGACTAACCGCGGACGGGTGGTATACCCGTGAGCCACAAGCGCCTCCAGTGCCACCTACACCCCCTGCACCGCCTGCTCCTCCTGCACCTCCTGCTCCTCCTGCTCCTCCCGCTCCTCCGAATCCTCCGAGTCCTTTTCCTGACGTGAATTCTCACCAACGGCCCGTGCTCCAGCTGTATTTGCCAGCCACTTTCGACGAGTGGTTGTCTGAACCGGACACACCCAATGCTAAGCGAATCGATGCTCCGCCGACTGCACCGCGTTGGGGAAATCCTGAAGCCTGCACGTGGGACGAGTCGGCTGTGGGCGCCGAAGATGACGTGGCCGCCGATAAACAACCCACATGCGACGGCGACACTGGAGGCGACGGTGGAGGCGACGGTGGAGTCGAGGGTGAAGAAGGCACCGAGGAGGACGTGTTCCCAGATCGTGACGCTACAGACGCTGACGACGACGGTGTGGAATCTTGGTGGCGCGACGCACCACGCGAGAAGATGCCGATCCCAACGTATCCGCCGATTAACAAAAAACGACCCCACCCCTCCTCTGAGAACCGAGATGCCCGCCCCCCCTCTCCCAGGCACAAGCCGAATCAACACAAACGGCAGCGCTACACCGCCCAGGAGAAACTGAAGTGGCTCGTTCGGCTGGAGCTTGCGGCATCAATAAGCGAGGTCGCGCGGGAGTCCGGCATACACCGCAAATGCCTCACGGATTGGAAAAACCAAGCGGAGGAGCTCAAGGCTGCACACAGCGCTCGGTGTCGACTTCATGGGCGCGGAAGGTCTTCCTGGTACAGACCCATGGAGATGAAAGTGTACGCCCAACTCCTGGACTGGCGACGCCGCGGTGTGGCAGTATCAGTCGGTCGGCTGCAAGACTGGTCAAAAGAGGTGATGAAGGTGTTGTTCCCGGACGTCAAGTGGAAGGCGAGTCAGCGCTGGACGGAGCGGTTCCGCAAGCGGTGGAATCTCACCGTGCGCATGAAAACAAAGGTGGCGCAAAAGACACAGCAGCGTAAGTGCCTGTCCGTGCACTGTCATCCTATCGTGAAATTTTATCTTGTATCTCTGTACTTTCTTGCCCATGTATGTTAATCTGTAACAGTGCTCATCCGCCCTTTTAACCGTCCCTCCCTCCCCGTGCTCAGACGTGGCGAAGCAGTGCAAAGAATTTTGGCAGTTTGTCCGCGACGCACGCCACGAGTACGACATCGACAATCGTTACATCATCAATGCCGACCAGACGCCTTTGTGGCTGGAGATGCCGGCGACTACCACGGTGGAGCAGACGGGCGTGAAGTCGGTGCCCATCCGCAGCGGTGGTTACCAGAAAGAGAGAGTCACTGTGATGCTGGCGTGCACGGCGACGGGCGAGAAGTTGAAGCCGTGGGTGTTTTTCAAGCGCAAGACCCTCCCAAAGGGTGACTTCCCGAACGGTAAGAAGCTGCGTATGCGCGTGTTTCGGAGGGGAAAAACAAAATTAAAATCTAATTACCGCTTGCTTGTATGCAGATGTCGTGGTCGGTTGCCAAGCTAACGGGTGGATGGAGGCCTCGGGCATCATCGAGTGGCTCGCCTCAGGCGTGGTGCCGTTCCTGAAACCGAACTTCGGATTGTAGAGCCGGAGCGCCATGCTGGCGCTCGACTCCTATCGTGGTCACCTGACACCCGAAGTCAAGGCGAAATTCGCGGAACTCAACATCGTGCCGGCGGTCATCCCGGCGGGATATATGGTAGAGTTGTAGCCGCTCGATGTGTCGGTCAACAAAAGCTTCAAGGCGAGTATTCGGCAGCAGTACCAGACCTGGTTCGAGCAGGACGGCACGAACATCCTGACACCCGCAGGTACGCAAAGTGTTCTCCCGTGACCGCTTCGTCTGCTTGTCTGCCTGCTTGTGGACTCACGTGTTTCCCACCCCCGTGTCTGTGGTGCAGGGAACATCAAGAAACCACCTCCGGAGGTGGTGCTCAAGTGGATTTTACGGGCGTAGAAAGCTGTGCCCGCCGACCTGATTAAGAAAGCGTTCCTCACCTGCGGCATCAGCAATGCCCTTGACGGGAGTGAAGACGGACGGGTGCTGGCGCACCGGAGAGGTCAGCTGTCCCACGAGGTACCGTATTACCCCGGATAAAAGCGCAGGTGCGCTTATAATAAATCAGTGTTTTTGGGGGGGTTGCGCTTATAAATGAGTCACGGGCATAAGCGCATGCGCTTATATAATGACAAATACAGAAATATGTTTTAAGCGCACCAAATTGTTCATCTTAGTCTTGTGATTCCAATCGAATCGAAATATTAGTGCGTCTTAGATCAGAATCGCGCGAGGGCGATTGATTCCCCCCCCCCACGTGCGTGCTGTCAGTCAGCCAGCTTCGTGCCGTTTCGCGCGAGGGTGATTTTTTGCCTCCTCGCGCCCCCCCCACGTGCGTGCTGTCAGTCAGGTTCGTGCCGTATAGCTTTTCCCGCCCTTACCGAACCGAACGGGCGAGTATGTTGGCCGACTTGTCGAGCGTGTCAAAGCAAAGGACGTAGACTCGCTGCAAAGCGGGAAATCGTTACGGTGCCTAATCAGGAATAAAATTATGCATGCGCTTATAATAAGTAAAGATTTCACAGGGGGTGCGCTTATAATTGAGGATCGGGCATAAGCGCATTGCTCCAGATATAAGCGCATGCGCTTTTAATAGGCCTGCGGTTATATCCGGGGCGATACGGTAGATGTAGATGACGACGTGCAAGCAGACGGGTTCTTTGGCAACAACTCCACGGAGCCTGAATCGGACGAGGAGTAGGCCTTAGGCTAGACTAATCTTGAAAATGGTGTGTAGGCTAGTATTCAAGTTTAATGTATTTGACTGGAAAGTTTTAGTTGAAATTGTTAGCTAGAGAAGTGTAGCTTGGATGTAGGTTGTTAATAAAGTGAAAATTTTCAATATAAATTCTTGTTATACAGCAGGGGTGCGCTTATAATAAGTAACGATTTTTTAGAGGGTGCGCTTCTAATTGAGGATCGGCCATAAGCGCATTGCTCCAGATAGAAGCGCATGCGCTTAACATAGGCCTACGGTTATGTCCGGGGCGATACGGTAGCACTGGAGCAAACCAGGTAGAATTGCAGCAAAGTGGCCATTCACCCAGTGGGACAAGTGGATAGCATCTAGCCAGTGCAAAGGAAGCCAAAGCAGTTGGCAAAGTTGTTCCCAACGCATTGCAGTCCGCTGCAGCGCCAGTCGGTGGGACACATGACAGGCGAGGCAGTGGCACACAGAACATCTGCAAGCACAAGCACAAGCACAAGCACAAGCACAAGCACAAGCACAGGTACAGGTGGGCGGGCAAGGAGAGGGGAGAGTGAGTTGCAAGGGGAGGCATTGCAGAAGATGGCATGCCAATGACACGTGTACCAATGGCAGCACCACCCTGGCCCCCTTGTGCACCCCCCCCACACTCACCAACGCAAGCCAGCGGCAGCGTGGTGGCCCCGACAGCGTTGGGCGTCCCGGCGGCGAAGGGAGAGGAGGCGTCGACGGTGCAGATGCCACGGCCGTAGCACAGCATGCCCTGTGCCGTGTCGGAGAGGCAGAAGCTGCACCCGGTGGTGCGCTGCGCCGTGCCCTTGGTGGTGCACGTTGTGGCGGCGAGGAAGCAGTTGCTGTTGGCGCCGCATGACGTGGCGGAGTTGGCCGGGAAGGAGCCCGAGAGGAAGTTAAAGCCCACGTCGATGTCCTTGAGCCCCGCCGCCAGTGGAGGCACGCGGTATGTGAGGTAGTTGTAGGACAGGCCGCTGGCACGAGGGAAAGGGGCAAAGGGGGGTGGGGGAGGGACGGATGGATGAGAGAAGGATGGAGGTGCCGTTATGGCAACCTATTTGATGGCACGAGACTTGACACAGAAGCAGCGGTCAAAAGGGATTGGAAGTTAGCTAAGGAGCAGACACGTGCATGGCAGCATGGAGGTGGCGCTTACAGGCGCGTGAGCTTGGGCATGGCGACGAGGCCAGGGGGCAGACTGCCGTAGAACCAGTTGAAGTCCAGCAGGTTGCGGCATGCACATGACCAACACGCACAGCATGGCCCACACGCACAAGATGGCCCACACGCACAACATGGCCCACACGCACAGCATGGCCCACACGCACAGCATGGCCCACACGCACAGCATGCCCAACACGCACACACATATTCATACACAACGGGGGGCAGAGGGACGACAGGAAAAGGGGGTCAGTTGGGAAGGCGAGGTGATGTGGGAGAAGAAGCTAGATGGTGGGAGAAGAAGAGGTGATGCAAACAATGCATTGCACTGCTAGGTTGGGCAGCGACTCACAGGTTGGGCAGCGATGGAATCTTGCTGCCAAACTCGTCCAGACGCGCCCTGAAGAGGTTCGACTTGAGCGAGCTGCCATGCACACGCCAGTGGCACACGCAGGGAGGAGGGGTGAAGTGAAGGTATACATTGGTGGTGGATGCGAGTAGGGGGCAGCCAGCTGACGAGCCAGCTTGTGCACGGCCAATCATGGAGCGGCACGTGAGCATGCTCGCTCACACCACTTGCTCCAGCATGCGAGTGTGTAGGCAAGAGTGAGTGCTCAGGGAATGATGAATGCTTGAAATTCTTAGCCCTACCTTGCATGTTTCCCGTTGCGGCCATGGTTGAAAATGAATCCGGCTTTACTGTTTTCCTTGGTGAACCTTGATTACAAGAAATTGAGTGCTGATGTGAATAGTAGTGATTATAAGATAGTGTGCTTACAGGAATGTGAGTGCCGTGAGCTTGGTGATGTCAGCATGCAGAATGCCAAACAGCTTCTGACTGTCCAGGGTGCTGTGGGGAGGCGGGGACGGGAGGGGGCCAGAAAGGCGATAAGGAGGGAAGGTGGGAGCAGAGGGAGGAAGTGGAGTGAGTTAAGTGAGGCCGGCCATGCTGGAGCAGGATGGGGGAATGGATGGGGAAACGGATGGGGAATCTGTAAAAAAAACATATACACAAGACAAGAGCACAGAGGCGATTCGTTCTCCACTGAGAAGATTCCCTTGCTTCTGTCCGACCCACCTAAAGCCCCCTTAAAAGCCACTCAGGGAAGGCCCCCCACTGGTGTTCGCTGCTCACATCTTGACGGGGTTGCCGAGCGAGTTGCACTCGACGCCAGTGAAGCCGCCGAGGGCCGTGCCGGCAGCCGCGCAGGTGGAGGTGGACGCCCAGTCCGTGAACGTCAACCCCAGCGCCATCTTGATGTTCATCAGCGCCCCCACTGGTGGCAGGGGGCGGTGGGAGGGACACACGGGCAGGAGAGATGAGAGGCATGGGCATGAACATGGGCAGCAGACGTGAGAGTCATGGTGGCAGCAGCACGGTGCCAACCGCACGAGGCCCAGCCGCAGCCATACCTGCGGTGGCGTCGGTGGCGACGGGCTGTGGGGGAGGGCAGGTGATGGCGAGCTGGGGGGCGCCACTGGTCTGGCGATTGGTGGCGGCCCTGACGGCCGCAGGGTCGGGCTGGCACGTGGTGGTGCCGCCACACAGCGTGCCGTTGGCGTTGGTGGTGCTGCAGACAGCGCAGGAGTAGCGCTGGTTGATGTTGCCGTTGCCGCAGGGGGTGGGGTCGATGAAGCAGTTCTGGTGCACGGTGCAGAAGTCCCACGAGGCCGTGGTGGTGGCGGCCGTGGGGAAGGTGTAGGTGAGCCAGTTGTACTCCAGGTCCAGCGTCCTCAGCTTCGCTGGCATGTCCGGCACCGTGCCCGTCAGGTAGTTCCACCCCAGGCTCCTGCGGGCCACACACACACACACACACACACACACACACACATACACACACACACACACACACACACACACACACACACACACACACACACACACACACACACACACACACAACACACACACACACACACAACACACACACACACACACACACACACACACACACACACACACACACACACACACACACACACACACACACACACACACACACACACACACACACACACACACACACACACACACACACACACACACACACACACACACACACACACACACACACACACACACACACACACACACACACACACACACACACACACACACACACACACACACACACACACACACACACACACACACACACACACACACACACACACACACACACACACACACACACACACACACACACACACACACACACACACACACACACACACACACACACACACACACACACACACACACACACACACACACACACACACACACACACACACACACACACACACACACACGCGCGCAGGGGGCATGGGGGGAGGGGTGGGCGATGGCGCATGGCAAGGTGTGGCACGGCATGCAGAGAAGATAGTGCATGGAATCTAACAAGGGTGGTCGTGGGGGGAGGCAGTGCAGGGGGCTGAGAGCATGGGGAGGCAGGGCAGGGCAGGGGGCAGGGCGCTCACAGCAGCATGAGGTTCTTGATGGCGGAGACAGAGGCGGGGATGGCGCCCGAGAAGAAGTTGTAGTTCATGATGCTGTGGCACGGGGGGGAGAGAGGAGAGAGGGGCAGGAGGGCAAGTCACACACGGCAGGTTAGAGAGGAGGAACAGACAGGAAGGGGGCAACGAGAGCGGCGAAGGTGCAATGAATTCAAGAGAGTGTGGGAGAAGAGAGAGGGGGCAGTGGGGTGGGGAAGGCTGGGGGGCGTACAGGATCTTCATGCCAGTGAGGCCGGTGAGCGGTGTGATAAACGGGTCCAATCGCCCCGACAAGAAGTTGCCCGACAGGTCGCTGTAGGGGGGTTTGGGGAGGAGGAGGGGGGGCGGGGGCGGCATTGGGAGGCATTGGGAGGGATTGGGAGGCAGGCATGAGAGGATGGGAGAGCAGAAGGGCGACTCCGTGTTGCGGGCGAGTCTTGTAGCAAAGTCATAAGCGGTGCAAAGAGCAGCAGAGTGGGAAGCCGAGGAGAGTGCGGCGAGCAGCAGAGTGGGAAGCTGAGGGGAGCGTGGCTCAAGCAGCAGCATCAGCAGGGTACTGACATGGCGGTGAGGGCGGTGAGCTTGGAGATGTCGGGGTGCATGACGCCGCGCATGAGGCGCCACTTGAGGAAGAGGTCGATGACCTTGCCCTGCCAGTTGCAGTACACGGCGGGCATGTCCTCGGGGCCCTTGGCGATGCCCGACACCGTGCACATCGTCTGCTCGCCCCACCCCGGGTGCGGCACTCCCAGCGCTGTCTTCAAGTTCGCCAGAATCGGCACTGCCGGGAGGAGGGCATGGGGAGCAAGCAGGGGAGCAAGCAGGGGAGCAAGCAAGGGAGAAAGCAGGGGAGCAAGCAGGGGGACGCAGAGCGGCGATGGAAACGGGAAAGGGGGGTGGGTGACAGGGGGCATGGCAAGTGGGGCGAGGAGAAAGGATGTGAGGAGCAAGGATGCGAGGAGCAAGGATGCGAGGAGCAAGGAGCAGCGGAGCAGGCACATGGAGGAGGCGCGGAACTCACGAGCTGTGGGGTCAATTCGAACGCCAGTGCAGCGCATGGGCAGCACACCAGTGGTGGCGCTGTTGGGCGTGGCGGTGGCGAGCGGCCCGTCCGTGTTGGGCGAGCACACGCCGCCCCCGCACAGCACATTGGCAGCGCTGCCCCCGCAGATGGTGCAGGAACCACGCTGCACAGAGGAGCCCGAGGAGACACACTTGGAGGCGTCGTCCAGGCAGTTGTTGCGCGCATTACACATGGTGGTGGAGGACGCTGGGAAGGGGCCCGCCAGGAAGTTGGACGCCACGTTGATGGTCTTGAGGGATGCTGCTATGGGGGCCAAGTAGCCAGTGAGGTAGTTGTATTGCACGTTGCTGCAGGCGGGGCGGCAGGCGGCAGAGTGACGGGGGCGGTGGAAGAGAAGGGAGAATGGTGAGAATGGTGGTCGGAGAGGGTGGGGTGTGAGGTGTTGGGTGGGTGGTGAGAGTACAAAAGCAAAGACCAAACGCGCACACACCATGGGATGTCAAGTGTGCGCATGCAAGCAACAGGTGTGTCTGTGTGTGTGTGTGGGCGCACGCGTACGTGCGCGCGTGTGTGTGTTGATGCGCTTTGTGTGGGCGCGTGTGTGCATGTGTGCGTGTATGTGTGTGTGTGTGTGTGTGTGTGTGTGTGTGTGCCACGTACAGGGTTGTGAGGGTCGAGAGAGAGAGCAAATAGGCTGGCATAGTGCCGGAGAACCAGTTGTAGTTGAGAGCGCTGTGTGAGAGGGGTGGAGAGGGGTGGAGAAGGGCGAGATGGAAGAGTGAGGGATGGAGACGTGGGGGGTGGAGAAGGTGGAGACGGGTGGCAAGGCAATGCGAGCATAAGGAAAGTGAGAGTAAGGAACGGCAGAGTTTGGGCGGGCAGGGCAGGGCAGGGCAGGGCAGGGCAGGGCAGGGCAGGGCAGGGCAGGGCAGGGCAGGGCAGGGCAGGGCAGGGCAGGGCAGGGCAGGGCAGGACAGAACAGGGAGGGCAGAACAGGCAAGGCAGGGAGGGCAGGGAGGGCAGGGCAGGGAGGGCAGGGCAGGGAGGGCAGGGTAGGCAATGCAGGGAGGGCAGGGAGGGCAGAGAGGGCAGGGCAGGGAGGGCAGAACAGGCAGGCAGGGAGGGCAGGCAAGGAAGGGCAGGGAGGGCACTGACAGGTGCTTGAGCGACTTTACGGTGGTGAGCATCGTGGCCCACTCGGCCAGGCGCCCCTCCAACAGGTTGGACGCCAGGTTGCTGCCATCGCCGGGGGGATGCGGAGGGGTGGGGGGGAGTGGGTGCTGGATTGGATGACTGCACATGAGCATGGCACTCCAATGAATCAGCATGAGGCACTATGCTTGGACAGCCAAAGATGGGACCCCAAGACTGGAAGTTTGGGAGAGCAGTGGGGAGGGGCGCTCACATCGTGGTGAGAGCAGTGAGAGGGGCGCTCACATCGTGGTGAGAGCAGTGAGAGGGGCGCTCACATCGTGGTGAGAGCAGTGAGAGGGGCGCTCACATCGTGGTGAGAGCCGTGAGAGGGGCGCTCACATCGTGGTGAGAGCAGTGAGAGGGGCGCTCACATCGTGGTGAGAGCAGTGAGAGGGGCGCTCACATCGTGGTGAGAGCAGTGAGAGGGGCGCTCACATCGTGGTGAGAGCCGTGAGAGGGGCGCTCACATCGTGGTGAGAGCAGTGAGAGGGGCGCTCACATCGTGGTGAGAGCAGTGAGAGGGGCGCTCACATCGTGGTGAGAGCAGTGAGAGGGGCGCTCACATCGTGGTGAGAGCCGTGAGAGGGGCGCTCACATCGTGGTGAGAGCAGTGAGAGGGGCGCTCACATCGTGGTGAGAGCAGTGAGAGGGGCGCTCACATCTTGGTGAGAGCCGTGAGAGGGGCGCTCACATCGTGGTGAGAGCAGTGAGAGGGGTGCTCACATCGTGGTGAGAGCAGTGAGAGGGGCGCTCACATCGTGGTGAGAGCAGTGAGAGGGGCGCTCACATCGTGGTGAGAGCAGTGAGAGGGGCGCTCACATCTTGGTGAGAGCCGTGAGAGGGGCGCTCACATCGTGGTGAGAGCAGTGAGAGGGGCGCTCACATCGTGGTGAGAGCAGTGAGAGGGGGGCTCACATCTTGGTGAGAGGGACGGCAGAAGAGAGGCATGTGAGGAGAGACGATGCTTTGGGACAGTGCGGACAGCTTGGGGGTGAGGGATTGCAGAAAGAGAGCGAGAGAGGCAGGGGGTCATGTTGGTTCCAGTACAGGGATAACATGGAAGGTACGGAGGCATCATACCAACGACCAACATACTGCCTCGACGAGGCAAGAGACGAGGGTGAGAGAGCCATACACGGGCATCCTCCCCTCCATTCCTCTTCATGTCCCAGCAGCCTCATATATGGGCTGGGTGACGTTCTCCCAGGCGCCTCAACGTCCTGAGAAGTGCTTCCAGTCGATGCAAGCGGGCAAGAGAGGGCAAAGAGGGGGTGGAAGTGGGGGGGGCTCACAGGGAGACGACGGCGCCGCTGCCGCTGCACCAGACGCCCGGGAAGGACTTGGGGGCGACGGTCTGCCCGATGATGTTGCAGGTGCTGCTGGCACTCCAGTCCGTGTGCGTCACTCCCAGCGCCGCCCCTATGTTCACCAGCACGGCCGCTGCTCATGGGGCGCATGCAGGGGGACAGCACGAGGAGACAGGGGTGAGCGTCCGTGCACACACGTCCATGAAAGCACGTGACTCGTGAATGCATGTGGGCAGCAGGGAAGGGAAGGCAGCAGGCAGCATGGCACACTGCTGGCGCACGAGTGGGCTGGTGCAAGGCGTGTGTGGAGCGCAAGAGTGGGCTGGTGCAAGGCGTGTGTGGAGCGCAAGAGTGGGCTGGTGCAAGGCGTGTGTGGAGCGCAAGAGTGGGCTGGTGCAAGGCGTGTGTGGAGCGCAAGAGTGGGCTGGTGCAAGGCGTGTGTGGAGCGCAAGAGTGGGCTGGTGCAAGGCGTGTGTGGAGCGCAAGAGTGGGCTGGTGCAAGGCGTGTGTGGAGCGCAAGAGTGGGCTGGTGCAAGGCGTGCTGTGGAGCGCAAGAGTGGGCTGGTGCAAGGCGTGCTGTGGAGCGCACGGCATGGGTACGGTACGGAGGCACTCACAGGACGTGGCATCAAGGGCCAAGGGGTGGCACTTGAGGGCGAGGGTGGGCGCGCTGGCGCTGTTGGCCACTTTGCCCGCCACATACGCCGAGGGGTCGGGCGTGCACACGGCCCCGCCACACAGCGGCAGCTGCCCGTTGGATGACCCACACACATTGCACCCGGCGCCCCTCTGCACGGTGCCGTCGAAGTTGACGCAGGCGGAGGCGTCGAGGAAGCAGTTGCCGCGCACCGTGCAGTAGCCCAGAGAGGCGGCAGGGAAGGTGCCCGAGAGGAAGTTGTACTCCGTGTCCAGCGCCTTGAGTGTGGCCGCCGGCTTGGGTAGGGTGCCCGTGAGGTAGTTTCTGCCCAGCGCGCTGGGGAGTTGCACACACAGCACAGGAAACAAGGGCTGCACGTTAGGAACGAATGGGTGCGGCTTGAAGCGGCATGATGGACGGGGGGCAGTGTGAGAGGTGGGGCAGTGAAGCAGTTGGAGAAGAGGAGTTGAGTGGAGGAGGGTGTGGGGCGAGGGCTTTACAGAGCGGAGAGGGCCGGCATGTTGACGAGCGTGGTGGGGACGCTGCCGTAGAACCAGTTGAAGTTGATGTGGCTGGTGGAGAGAGGGGTGAGGGAGCACGTACACACACATGCATATAAGCATGTATGCACACATTCACACACAATACACACACACATGCACGCACGCACGCACACTCGCGCAGAGGGCCGAAGTGAAGGAGCACAAGAGCAGAAAAAGCGGAGACGTGCGAAGAGGCGATGAGAGAGAGGGTGGGGGGAAGAAGGGGGGAATGGATTATGGAGGGGCGGGGGCGTGGTGGCACTGACAGCTCCTTGAGGGTGGCTGCGGGGGTGATGGGCACGATGTAGGAGTCAAGGCGGTTGAAGAAGAGGTTGGAGGTCAGCCGCCTGCACACAGGACCAGGGGTGGCAGAGGGAGGGGGGATAATGTGGGTGCCAAAAAGGTGAAACACAGTGGAAAGATGATGAAGGGGTGCGAGAGAGAGGGCGGGCTTGTGATGCCATGATGAGGCTGCGAGAGTGGCTGCTGCGAGCAGCACAGCCAATGGCATAAGATGTGGGCGGGGTACCACACAGGCCGTCCTCACACTGCTGACACGGCTCACAGAGAGTGAGTGGAAGGATTACAGCGAGGTGAGGGATGGCTTACAGTGAGGTGAGGGTGGTGAGCTTGCTGATGTCCGAGTGCACTGTGCCACCCAGTTGCCGGCCCTGCAGCTCACTGCACAGCGGGTTTCAAAGAGAAGCAGGGACAGGAAGGGGCAGGGGAAACATGTGAGTGAGAGGCGGCAGGAGAAGCACCCGCGGCGCACAGGCAGAGCGGGGTGGGGGGGGGAAGGTCAGCAGGACCGGCACAGCACTCACAGGCTGACGACTTGGCCGAGCGGAGAGCAGCGCACGCCGGTCCACGCCCCAGCAATGGGTGTCTGGCCCTGGAGGGTGCACGACCCCACCAGCTTCCAGTCGTACTGCATCATCGACCCCCCCCTCCCTTGCAGCACGCGCCGCTTCCCCCCCGCCTTGGGCTTCTTGCCCGTCTTGGGCTTGGGCGAGGTGGCCTTGGGGGCGGCGAGTGTGGCGGCGGTCCAGTCAGTGAAGGTGGCGCCCAGAGTGGTCTTGAGCGCCAGCAGGATGTTGCCTTGAGTTGCATCCAGCGCCACGCCCACACAGAAGCGCGGTCGCGGAGCGTAGTTAGGGCCGTTTGGGTATATGTTGTATGTGTTGGGCACACAAGTGCCGCCGCCACAAATGGTGCCCGTGCCGTCCGCCGAGTCGCACACGGCGCACTCAGTAGTGGCGTTGCGCTGCACGGTGCCTCCCGTGGTGCAGGCGCCGATGCTGGCGAAGCAGTTTTTGGTGGCGGAGCAGGAGGAGAAGCCGGCGCCGGGGAAGGTGCCCGACAGCCAGTTGCCGTCCACAGCGAGCGTCTTGAGTGCGGGGCCCAGAGTGGGCACGACACCGTACAGGTAGTTGTACCTCGCTCCACTGCGGTGGGGGGGGGGGGGGGGAAGGGGGGGAGGAGAGGATGGGGGGGAGGGGTGAGTCTGGAGCATTTGAGTGGACCGGAGACGCCTTAGAGAAGGGCAGCAACACAAAGGCAATGGTGTGAGTCTTGAGAGGGATGAGGCAGAAACATGGACGGTACCTGCGTGAGGTCAAACTACTTAGAGACTTGGATGTGGGCGTGAGATGGAGGCGGCAAGGCGGAGAAACTCTGAAAGAGGAGAGAGTGACAAGGGGCAGTGAGGCTCACAAGGTGGAGAGGGAGGCCATGGCCACGAGGGCGGAGGGGATGGGCCCCGAGAAGTAGTTGTAGTCAAAGTAGCTGTAGGGGCATGCGGATGAGGAGCCGGGAGGGGTATGGGAGTGGGTGGGTGGGTGGAGAAGCATGGGAGTGGTGAGAGTGTGAGAAGACACGAGGAGATGACACGACGATGCTGCAGCAGCAGAGCGCGGTGCGGTGCGGTGAGGTGCAGTGGCACAGCGCGGTGCGGTGCGGTGCGGTGAGTTGCAGCTCGGATGCATCTCATCCGAGGCAGGTGGCACTCACACTTCCTTGAGCGCCGTGAGCGCCTTGAAGTTGGTGGTGAAGACGTCCAGTCGGCCCTCCAGGTAGTTGGTGCGCAGATTGCTGCGCGGGATGCAGGGCGCACAGGCACAGAGGAGAGCAGAGAGACACAGGCGTGAGATGGAAGGTGAAGAAAGGTGAAAGTGCATATGAAGTGAGAGGGACAGTGGATACAGGAGGGGACGGATGGAAGCATGCAGCGAGTGTACGCAAGCATGCTGTTAGAACTTAAGATTGTGATTGAGTAATGAGCCAAGAGGCTCTATAATACAAGCATGCAAGAAAGGAAGAGTGGAAGAGATCTAACCCTATTGGCCACTAAGTTTGCCAATGAGTGAGGTGCCTTGTAGAGCAAGCAACCTCACAATGTAGCTAGGTTGGGATTGGTTGGACTAAGGACCAAAGGTTGGCAAGTGCCAACCAGGGACCATGGCCAAACCCAATCTTGACCAACCAGAAAGTGTGGTTGGAGTGTACACCCAACCCCCCAATAACATTAATGACTAATAAGATATACATCTACAACACATGCATGGAAGCATTTGCACATGGGAAAGTGACTAGTGGGGAGGAGAGCAGGTGGGGTGGGGCAGCATGTCGGTCGGAGCAGGCAGAGCAAGTAGGCATGAGACGGGGAGAGCGAGGAGAGGGGTGAGAGCAAGAGGGGGTGGGATAGTGAAGAGCCATGGCTGCTGCAGCTTGGGGGCCTGCTGCTGCTGCATAGCCTGGATGAGGGGTAGAGGGGGCGGATGGCGGATGAGTAGCATGAGATCTAGAACAGGCTGTTAGGCACAGACATCTTCTGCCCGCTTGCTGTTAGGCACAGACATCTTCTGCCCGCTTGCTTCCTCATTCATCCGCCTGCTTGTGTGCTGTGGAATCAACTTAATGGACCGTTAGGGGTATGATGATGAGCTTTACATGATGGCATGCACGTGCGGCTGCTTACATGTAGGTGAGGGCAGTGAGCTTGGAGACGTCGGCATGCATGGTCCCTGCGAAATACTGCTGCCCCAGATTGCTGCACAATGACCAACCGCCACACACACACAACACAACCACGCACACAAGGCACACACAGAAGCACATGCACGAAAGACAGAGTCTAGTTGACAAGGGTCTCACATATTGACAGCAGCCCCCAGACCATGAGGAGTGGCACATGAACGGGAGTGCAGCGCGGGTTAAGAGGCACTCACAGCGAGATGACTTTGCCCCAAAAGGCACTCACAGCGAGATGACTTTGCCCCAAAAGGCACTCACAGCGAGATGACTTTGCCCCAAAAGGCACTCACAGCGAGATGAATTTGCCCCAAAAGGCACTCAAAGCGAGATGACTTCGCCTGGAGAGAGAGACTCACAGCGAGACGACTTTGCCGTTGGGGCTGCAGACAACGTTGGACCAGGCGCCTGGCAGCGGCGGCACCCCCTGCATGGTGCAGGGCGCGCCCAGCACCCAGTTCGTGAACAGCACCCCCAGCGACGCCTTCACGTTCAGCAGCGCCGCCGCTGAGTGGGGGGGAAAAGGGGGGGGAGAGGAGGGGGGGGAGGGGGAGGAAGAAGGGACAGATCAGGGAACGGACGCAGCACAAGTGGTGAGAACGCAAGAGCAGCATGGCTGTGCGCGCACACGATTGCTGTTGTACCAATGCATGCGCCCCTGCGTATTTCTCGAGGCGACTCAAAAACCATCATGCAAGGGCCACACGCACTGCCTGCCTGATCCCCGCACTGCACAGTCCCCTCCCCCCCAGCGCACTCACCCATGGCAGGATCCATGGACGACCCAACGCTGTAGAGCGCGGCGGTGTCGCTGTTGACAGTGGTGGCGGCGGTGGGCGTGCACACGCCGCCGTTGCACATGCTGCCCGTGGCGTCGGGCGTCTCACAGATGGCGCAGCCGCCTGCAGCGCGCTGAGCAGAGCCGGCGAGGCACTTGGAGGCGTCCTGCAGGCAGTTGCTGGCGCAGGCGACGGAGGTGGCGGTGGTGGTGGGGAAGGTGCCGACCAGGTAGTTGCTCGACAGGTCGATCACCTTGAGGGTCGCCGGCAGGGCTGCCGGCATGCTGCCCGTCAGGTAGTTCAGGTTCAGGCGCCTGCATCGCACGCCCCAGTGGTGGACAGCGGTGGATAGTGGTGCACAGGGATTGACGGGCACGGGAGAGGGGCAGAGAAAATGGAGGGAAAGGCGAGAGGGAGAGAAGAATGGGAGACGAGAAAGTGGTGACGAGAGCGGGCATGGTGATGAGCGGTGAGGCATGGTGATGAGCGGTGAGGCATGGTGATGAGTGTGAGGCATGGTGATGAGTGTGAGGCATGGTGATGAGTTGCAATGTAACTAACATGGCAGGTAAGGAAGGATGTTTGAGGAGAGAGAGGGGGTAGGGAGGGAAGGCGCTTACAGCTCCGTGAGGGCAGTGAGGGCGGAGATGCCGGCTGGGAAGGAGCCCGAGAAGTAGTTCTGGTGGAGGCGGCTGCACGCATGGGCGCAACACACAGGGGGGTGACGTGATGTGAGTTCGGGCAGAGAGGGGGGTGAAGGGAGTGCAGGCAGAGAGACAGCACGCGAATGGTGAAAGAGGCATGAAACTCTCATGGGGCTGGGGAGTGGCTTACAGGGAGTTGAGAGTCTTGAGGGCGAGGAAGGGCGCGAGGAAGGAGTCGAGGTGGCCCGAGAAGAGGTTGGCCGACAGGTCCCTGCCATGGATGGGGCACAGCGCAGCGCAGCGCACACACACGGCACACACGTGCTTGGTGCAATGCCTTGGCACGAGATGGGAGTGCAAGGCATGAGCTGTAATGTGAGGGGCATGCAGTGGCGTGTTAGAGGCATGAAGTGGCGTGTGGGAGGCATGCAGTGGCGTGTGGGAGGCATGCAGTGGCGTGTGGGAGGCATGCAGTGGCGTGTGGGAGGCATGTAGTGGCGTGTGGGAGGCATGCATTGGCAGTGAGAGGCATACAGTGGCGTGTGGGAGGCATGCAGTGGCGTGTGAGGGGTATGCAGTGGCAGTGAGAGGCATACAGTGGCGTGTGAGAGGCATGCATTGGCGTGTGGGAGGCATGCGGTGGCGTGTGAGGGGCATGCAGTGGCAGTGAGAGGAGAGCTTACAGCTTGGTGAGCATGGGGAGCTTACAGCTTGGTGAGCATGGAGAGCTTACAACTTGGTGAGCATGGAGAGCTTACAGCTTGGTGAGCATGGAGAGCTTACAGCTTGGTGAGCATGGAGAGCTTTGACACGTCGATGGGGAAGGAGCCCGAGGCCTTGCCGCCCGTGAGAACACTGTGGGACGCCACGTGGTACACACAGGTCAAATGCCACATGGCAGGCACACACGCATGAGAAGTCTGATAAGCGAACACGAATGATGGCAACACACATTGTGGCACATGCATGAGCACAGTATGGCCTCATGAGTGCACCCTGCTTCATGGCAGCATGCGTGGCGCATGCAGGATGACGCATGCAGGACGACGCGTGCACCGGCATCACAGGCATGGAATGGAGGTGCGAAAGGGAGCGGGTTGGGGGGCAGAGAGGGGCGGGGCGAGCAGGCGGGGGTACATTTCAAGGACGAGCCCGGCAGGGTTGCAGTAGACGGAGGGGAGCGTGCCGGCCACGGTGGGCTGCCCTGCCAGCGTGCACGTGGTCTGCGCCCCCCACTGCCCCGGCGTCATGGCCACCAGCGCAGACGCTGCCACGGATGCGCAAGGGGGGGAGGGGAGGGAGGAGTGTGCATGAGGGCGTCATTCAGGCTCAATCGGGATGCTCTCAAGAGGGTGGTCCGCGAATGACCCGTGCAGAGGCAAGGGAGAGAATGGAGAGAATGCCAGCGAATAACAGCCCGGGACCCTTGCGTTGCACCTTTTTCTGCCAACGCCCCTTGACCTCTTGCGCTCTTCATCCCCGCAGCCCGGAGCCCTGTAGCCGGAACGTCTTCCCAGGAAGGCCGGGGTGCATTGTGTGCAGTGCAGGGGGGGGGGCGCACCTTGGGTGGCTTGGATGGGCACGGGGTCGCAGCGCATGGCGGGGGCGGGGCTCCACTTGTTGACAGCCGTGATGGGCGACGGTGTGCCGGGCGCACACGGGTTGCCCATGCACGCCGTGCCCAGGGCGTCCGTCATGCCGCAGATCTGGCAGCTGGCGCTGGGGTTGGGCGCGTTGGGGTTGAGCGAGCTGCACGTGGAGTAGGTGGGGATGCAGTTGGCGTAGGCAGTGCAGTAGGTGGCACTGTTGGCCGGGAAGGTGCCGCCCAGGAAGTTCTGGTCCACCATGAGGCGCTTCAGTGCGGTGGAGATGGGTGCTGGGAACGTGCCTGTGAGCGCGTTCATGCTCAGCTCGCTGCACAAAGGGGGAAGAAAAGGGGGGGGGGGGGAGGGGAAGGAGAGGGGAGGGGGGGGGGGGGGAAGAGAGAGAAGGAGAGGGAGGATGAGGGGGAAAGAAGAAATAGCACAAGGAGCAAGACGAAAAGGCACGGGAGCAGGGGCATGGGGAAGGTGTGCTGGTAGAGGGCGAAAGCACTGGAAGTGAGATACGTGGAGATATGAGCAGGGGGCATGGTTTGAATGGGCAAGGCAGTAACAGGTTGGCATGGATTGGTGACATAGGCCTGAGCAGGGTCGGACAGGGTGGGGCACTGACAGGTTGGTGAGCTTGGAGAAGGAGACGAGCCAGAGGGGCACGGGGCCGAAGAGATAGTTGTTGTTGAGCCGGCTGCACGCATGGAGGGGGGAGAATGTGGGGAAAGAGAGGGGTGGAGTGGAGAGGGAAATGAGGGCATGGATGGTTGCATATTAGCAAGGCACTCACAGCGATAGCAGGTTACCAGGTGATCACAGCAAGAGAGGGTTAGCACTCACAGAAATAACGGGCTGACAAGGCACTCACAGCGATAGACGGTTGACAAGGCACTCACAGCGATAGACGGTTGACAAGGCACTCACAGCGATAGACGGTTGACAAGGCACTCACAGCGATAGACGGTTGACAAGGCACTCACAGCGATAGACGGTTGACAAGGCACTCACAGCGATAGACGGTTGACAAGGCACTCACAGCGATAGACGGTTGACAAGGCACTCACAGCGATAGACGGTTGACAAGGCACTCACAGCGATAGACGGTTGACAAGGCACTCACAGCGATAGACGGTTGACAAGGCACTCACAGCGATAGACGGTTGACAAGGCACTCACAGCGATAGACGGTTGACAAGGCACTCACAGCGATAGCCGGTTGACAAGGCACTCACAGCGATAGACGGTTCACAAGGCACTCACAGCGATAGCCGGTTGACAAGGCACTCACAGCGATAGACGGTTGACAAGGCACTCACAGCGATAGCCGGTTGACAAGGCACTCACAGCGATAGCAGGTTGGTGAGCAGCTTGACGGAGGAGCCCCAAGGCTCGATGGAGGCTCTGAAGAAGTTGTAACTCAAATCCCTGAGGGCGCAACGAAACACGGGCATGGGTGAAGTCAGGCACTTGGCACCTACTGCCTAAACCCCAAGGCAGTGGGTGAGAAGTACTCACAGCACAAGGAAGTGTGTGTGTGGGCAGCACTCACAGCACAAGGAAGTGTGTGTGTGGGCAGCACTCACAGCACAAGGAAGTGTGTGTGTGAGCAGCACTCACAGCACAAGGAAGTGTGTGTGTGGGCAGCACTCACAGCACAAGGAAGTGTGTGTGTGGGCAGCACTCACAGCACAAGGAAGTGTGTGTGTGGGCAGCACTCACAGCACAAGGAAGTGTGTGTGTGGGCAGCACTCACAGCACAAGGAACTGTGTGTGTGGGCAGCACTCACAGCACACGGAAGTGTGTGTGTGGGCAGCACTCACAGCACAAGGAAGTGTGTGTGTGGGCAGCACTCACAGCACAAGGAAGTGTGTGTGTGGGCAGCACTCACAGCACAAGGAAGTGTGTGTGTGGGCAGCACTCACAGCACACGGAAGTGTGTGTGTGGGCAGCACTCACAGCACAAGGAACTGTGTGTGTGGGCAGCACTCACAGCACACGGAAGTGTGTGTGTGGGCAGCACTCACAGCACAAGCAAGTGTGTGTGTGGGCAGCACTCACAGCACAAGCAAGTGTGTGTGTGGGCAGCACTCACAGCACAAGCAAGTGTGTGTGTGGGCAGCACTCACAGCACAAGCAAGTGTGTGTGTGGGCAGCACTCACAGCACACGGAAGTGTGTGTGTGGGCAGCACTCACAGCACAAGGAACTGTGTGTGTGGGCAGCACTCACAGCACAAGCAAGTGTGTGTGTGGGCAGCACTCACAGCACAAGGAAGTGTGTGTGTGGGCAGCACTCACAGCACAAGGAAGTGTGTGTGTGGGCAGCACTCACATCACAAGCAAGTGTGTGTGTGGGCAGCACTCACAGCACAAGGAAGTGTGTGTGTGGGCAGCACTCACAGCACAAGCAAGTGTGTGTGTGGGCAGCACTCACAGCACAAGCAAGTGTGTGTGTGGGCAGCACTCACAGCACACGGAAGTGTGTGTGTGGGCAGCACTCACAGCACAAGGAACTGTGTGTGTGGGCAGCACTCACAGCACAAGCAAGTGTGTGTGTGGGCAGCACTCACAGCACAAGGAAGTGTGTGTGTGGGCAGCACTCACAGCACAAGGAAGTGTGTGTGTGGGCAGCACTCACATCACAAGCAAGTGTGTGTGTGGGCAGCACTCACAGCACAAGGAAGTGTGTGTGTGGGCAGCACTCACAGCGCGGTGAGTGCAGAGAGCTTGCTGAGGTCAGCGTGGAGAGAGCCAGTCAGCTTCTGACCCGCCAGATTACTGCCGGTGTGGGGAAGAGGGAGGGAGCGCATGGTGGGAAGGAAGGCTAACGAAGTGCCACCGTGGTTGACCCGGCAGCCTGACAGGCAGTGCGTAATCCCGCATGTAACAGATGCAGCAGGTTTTGGAGAGGGGTGCAAAGGCGGGAGAAGGTGCAAGAGCGCTCACAGGCTGACGGGCTGGCCGAGGCCATTGCAGCGCACGGCAGACCACGAGCCGGCGATGGGCGTCTGCCCCTCCGTGGTGCAGTAGCCGCCCGTGGTGAGCCAGTCCGTCAGCGCCACGCTGCCACTGCCCGCCCCCGCCGCCTTGGGCTTGAGCAGCGTGGAGGGGGCCGTCCAGTCCGTGAACGTCACTCCCAGTGCCGCCTTTATGTTGAACAGTGCCGTCACTGGCACAGCGCACGAGAGAGAGGCCGTGGAGGAAGGGAGTCGCAGAAAGGAGCAAAGGACACCGGGAGGAATGAGTGAGAGAGAGGCCGCCGCTCGAGAGAGAGAGGAGGCAGAGGGCGGGGGGAGGGGAGGAGGGAGGAGGAGGGTGATGGCAGGCTGGAGCATGGCAGGTGTGCAGGGAAGGGCAGCAGGGCATCACCTGCGATGGAGTTCATGATGACGCCGGTGCAGTACAAGGGCACAGTGGGCGTGGACAGTGTGGGGGTCTGTCTCAACGCCACAGCCTCCGTGGCATTCGGCACGCACAGCCCACCGCCACACAGAGTGCCCTGCCCGTCCGCGCTGCCGCAGATGTTACAGCCGGCGCGGTTTTGAACGCCACCGGTGGTGCAGCTGCCCTGGGAGGTGAGGCAATTGAGCGCCGCGGAGCACGTGACGCCGGGGAAGTTGCCGATGGTGCCCGACAGGAAGTTGCCTCCTATGGCCAGCGTCTTGAGCGCTGTGCCTATGGCGCTGGGCAGCTGACCTGTGAGGTAGTTGTAGCTCATGTCGCTGGGAGGACGGCACATCAGCGCACGGGTGGGTGGAGCGCAGAGAGAGGGATGTGAGAGGGCGCGAGGCAGGGTGGTGAGTCATGTAGCACAGCAAGGCATCAGGGTGGGCGCACGAGGCAAGCATGGGATAGGGAGAGGGGAAAAGGAGGAAACGAGCAGGTGGCATGTAACAGAAGGTGGGCAGGAAGTGGGGGATGAGGAGAGATGGAGGCGGTACAGGTGGGTGAGGTAGGGCTTCCAGAGAAAATCGCTGGTGGGGATCGTGCCCGAGAAGAAGTTGAAGCGAGCCTTTCTGCAGACGGGCAGGCAGGGGGGGGGCGGCAAGGTGGGCACGAGCAGTGAGGGCAAAGACACGCAGAACCACACAATTTGAGGGCACACAAGCTAGAACCGCAGAAAGCACATGGATAAAAAGCATCAACGTCACATGTGAGCATGCGATAGGGGTGATGGCATGGGTAGCGGGCAGGTGGGGAGCAGAGGCGACTGACAGGCGCTTGATTGCAAAGAGGCTTTTGAAGGATGTGAAGAAGTAGGCCACACGTCCCTGCAGCAGGTTGCTGTCGAGGATGCTGCAGACAGGCAGGGAGAGAGAGATGGGGGGAGGGGGAAGGAGGGGACGACAGGGGTGGTGATGAAGAAGAGCGTGTGAGTGGCAAGGAAGATGATGGGAGGACATGAGTCCTGAGCAGTCTCCAGCAGGTGGTGGTGGGACAGCAGGTGGTGGTGGGACAGCAGGTGCAGTTGGGACAGCAGGTGCAGTTGGGACAGCAGGTGCAGTTGGGAGAGCAGGTGCAGTTGGGACAGCAGGTGCATTTGGGAGAGCAGGTGCGTTGGGACAGCAGTGCTCCAGCCAGGAGGGAGTGGTGAGCTTACAGCGAGATGAGAGTGGTGAGCTTACAGCGAGGTGAGAGTGGTGAGCTTACAGCGAGGTGAGAGTGGTGAGCTTACAGCGAGGTGAGAGTGGTGAGCTTGTACATGTCAGCAGGCAAGCTGCCCTTGAGCCCTTGAGACGTGAGGTCGCTGCAGAGCAGCACAGGTATGCAAGAGGGAGTGAGGTGAGAAGGCAGAGAGGCGAAGGGGAAGGAAAGCGAACCATCGGTGAGTAACACAAGACAGGGGCGCCTTCACGCCGTGGCTGTGCGTGACAGGCTGCAGGCTGCTTAGCAGAGAGGCCAAAGATGAACCTGCTACTCACATGCTGGTGACCTTGGCAGCGGCGTCACACTCCACACCGGACCACGACCCCGCCACGGGGGCCTGCCCTGCGATGTTGCATGGTGACGTGGCAAGCCAATCAGTGAGAGTGACGCCCAGCGACGCCTTGAGGTTGAGCATGGCGCCGCGCATGGTGAGCTCAATGGGGCCGCCCACGCACGACATCGCCAGCACAGCCTGTCCCTCCGTGTTGGGCGTTCCCGCAGCGGCGGGCGCGGCGGCGTTGGGGATGCAGAAGCCACCACCGCAGAACGGGCCCACAGCCCCGGTAGTGCCACAGATGTTGCAGTCTGTAGCGGCCCTCTGTGCGGTGCCGAGTGTGTTGGTGCACTTGGAGGCGTCTGCAAAGCAGTTGGAGCGCGCATCGCACGCCGTGAGGGCGGCGGTGGGGAAGGAGCCCGAGAGGAAGTTGCCCGCCACGTTCAGCGCCTTCACCGCTGCTCCCACGGTGGGCACCACGCCCGTCAGGTAGTTGCGGTTCAGCTTGCTGCGCGCAGCAGTTGGGAGGGGAGAGGGGGTGCAGTGAGGATGGGGAGACGAGAAATGCCAGTTGTTAAGCAGTGGTGGGTGGTGAGTGATGGGTGGTGGGAGAGAAAAGGCGGGATAAAATCATACGTGGGGTGGAAAAGGGGTTCTCTAGAAGGGGCCACGCAGAGAGCAAATGGTGAGAGGCACTCACACGCTGGAGAGGGCTGGCAGGGCGAGGAGGGCGGAGGGGATGGAGCTGGAGAACCAGTTGTACTGCAGCGACCTGTGGGTGGGCAGGGCGGATGGGGCATGGTAGGAGGGCAGCGATGTGAGGGAACAGGGCGGTGATAGATGGTGCTCTGAGGTGCCTGGGTGGGTGCAGACAGTAGAACGGTGGTGGTGGTGCTGGTGATGGCGGCGGTGGGGGCGGCGATGGTGGTGGTGGTGGTGCAGCAGCGCTTACAGCGACTTGAGTGTCTTGACAGCGGTGAGAGGCGACACGAACACCTCCAGGCCCCGCTGAAAGAGATTGGCGCTCAGATCCCTGCATGCATGCATGCATGCATGGATGGCAGGCACGCACGGGAATCACATGCACACACGTGCACGTACATGCATGCCCATGCATATACACGCAGCAGTGAGGAGATAGCACCAGTGAGGTTAAACCGTAGTGGTCCAAGGGCGTGCAAGGGCGTGCATGGACGAGCAAGGGCGTGCAAGGGCGTGCAAGGGCTGAGGGACGCACAGCGCAGTGAGAGCTGTGAGCTTGGTGATGTCCGACGACAGGCTTCCACTCAGCTTCTGGTTGGGCATCACCCTGCAGGAGCAGGTGGACGAGACGAGAGTGGAGAACGGGGAGACAGAAAGAGGGAAAGGAGGAGGAGCCTGAGTGAACATGCAGGCAGGAGAAGGGAGAGCTCTGGGGATGATGGGAGACCGGTTGGGGCAGAAATGATGAAGTTATAATTCAAAGACAAGGTAAGAAAAAGGTGCTCGCAAGAAACGATGGGCTCTTCCAAGAACGAGTGAGAGCAGCATGGGCGAGCAAGCATGAGCGCCGTTGCTTTGGGATTCACCAACTCTGTGGGCTGGCCAGCCCCACTGTGAGCTGGCCAGCCCCACTGTGAGCTGGCCAGCCCCACGCCACAGGAGCGCACAGCATGGGGCACTCACAGCAGGGGGCACTCACAGCAGGCGGGCACTCACAGCAAGCGGGCACTCACAGGGCGACGATGGCGCCAGCAGAGTTGCAGAGGACACCGGTCCACGAGCCGGGCGCAGGCACCTGGCCTTCCACTGTGCAGGCGCCCACAGTGGTGGCCAGGGGCACGCTGCCACTCTTCAGCGCCTTGGGCTGCAGCACCACCGTTGTGGCCGCCCAGTCTGTTGATGTCACTCCCAGCACTGTCTTCAGCGCCAGCAGCGTCGTGGCTGCAGCATGGGAGGAAGGGGATGGGGCGGTGGTGGGGTTGAGGGCGAGAAGAAGGGGGAGGGGGAAAAGGAAGGTGGGGGAAGGGAGCACGAGAGGGGCACGCAGAGAAGGAGCAGCACTCACTGGTGTTGGCGTCCATGAGGACCGGCGTGCAGTAGAGGCTGCGAGGGGGAGACGATGCGGTGGGAGGAGCCGTGACGCCAGTGGTGTTGACGAGGCAGGTGACGCCACCACACAGAACGCCCTGGCCAAAGGCGGTGCCGCAGATGGCACAGTCAGAGGCGGTGCGCTGGGAGATGCCGAGGGAGGCGCAGCTGTTGGCGTCGGTGAGGCAGTTGGTGGTGGCGGCGCAGTAGGTGAGCGCGTTGGTGGGGAAGGCGCCCGACAGGAAGTTGCCCTGCACGTCCAGCGACTTGGCGGATGCTGGCACGGTGGGGAAGGGGCCTGTGAGGTAGTTGTAGGCCACAGAGCTGGGAGAGCAGGCAGGGGGAAGAGGGAGGAGGAGAGCGCGGGGAAGACAAGGTGGAGGAAGAAAGGAGCAGGTGAGGCGGGACAATGAGGGAGTGTGTGAGAGATGGTGTGTGCTTGGAAAGTAGCGACGATGAGGTTGAAGCGCGAGAGTGGAAGGCGGGGTGGTGCAGAGCGGAGCACTGACAGTTTGGAGAGGGTGGCGAGGGCGAGCAGCGTGGAGGGGAACGGACCGACGAGGTAGTTGAACTGCAGAGCGCTGCAGGCATGCACAGCGCGATGCACGGGAAAGGGCGGGGGAGAGGACAGAAAGGTTAGGGGGCGTAGGGGGGATAGGGATGGCGGTGCATTCGAGCATGGTCGAATGCACCCACTCATGCCTGCCTGCATGGGTGGGTATAGATGGCTGCATGTATGGGTGCCTGCATGGATGGGTGCATGGATGGATGGCTGCATTGGTAGGATGCATGTGTGGCTTAATGCTTGCAGGGATGGGTGCACGGGTGGGTGCTTGCAGGGAGCGTGGGCGGGTTTCAGCGACTCACAGGTCCTTGAGCACGAGGCACGAGGGAGCATGAGTGGGTGGGTGCATGCAGCGACTCACAGCTCCTTGAGCACGAGGGGCGTCTTGATGCTGGCAGTGAAGGAGTCCAGCCGCCCCTGCAGCAGGTTGGACTGCAGGTCGCTGCAGCACACAGCCATGGGGAGGCGAGCGCACAAGACAAGACACAATGCAGAATGCCGCGTTGAGTTGCGGACGTGGGCAGGAGCAGCCAGATGGGTGGAGAATATGACGGTCGCACAGCACATTTTAAAGCGCCTCAGAAAACACATAGGCGGGGCGGGGCGGATGTGGGTGTGAGTGACAGTGAGGTGAGAGGAGGGCGAGAGGACTGACAGTGAGGTGAGCGTGGCGAGCTTGGAGATGTCGGAGTGGATGCTGCCCGCCAGCTTCTGGGAACTCGGCACTCTGCACATTTGGCCCAACGTGGCAGCACAGAGAGTGCACAGATTGAACGTGAGGTCTAGAGAAACGCGACGCCAAACTCCAGGCACCGTGCTGCATTGGCGACGTGTCTGCACGTGTGCTTTGTTTGAAGTGGACACTGGGATGGCCCCAAGTGGTCTCCCCAGGTGCCATCCTGGAGAGGCGTTTGTGCGCCTACCCGCCACACAAACATGCTCTTTATCCCACTTTGTTAGCAAACAGGAGCTATTTCTGCACACTCACATGCCCAGCACTTTGCACTCACATGCCCAGCACTTTGCACTCACATGCCCAGCACTTTGCCAGTGCCGTCGCAGGTGACGCCACTCCACGACCCGGCGGCGACGACATTGGTCATGGAGCAGGGCGAGTCGGCCTTCCAGTCAGTGAAGGTCACTCCCAGCGACGCCTTGAGGTTCAGCATGGCGCCCGCGTGGCCGGCATCTATGGCCACAAACGCAGCTCCCACGCAGATGAACGGCAGCGGGGGCGACAATGCACTATTGGGCGCGCCCAGAGGGACCAGATCAGTGGCGTTGACGGTGCACAGCCCGCCGTTGCACAGGCGGCCCTGCGCGTTGGTGGTGTTGCAGATGGCGCACGCGGCGGTGGCTCGCGGGAGCTCGGAGGCGCGGTTGGGGTTGTTGCACTTGGAGGCGTCGAGGAAGCAGTTCATGCGCGCGGCGCAGAGGGAGAGGGTGAGCGTGGGGAAGGTGCCGGCCAGGAAGTTGAACTGCACGTCCACCACTGAGAGCGGGGACGTCACGTTGGGCAGCGCGCCCGTCAGGTAGTTGTAGCCCATTGTGCTGCCAGGCCGGGGCGCGGTGGGGCGGGGAGGCGTCCATGCACACATGCAAGTGCCCATGGATGCGCCGGTGTTATGGGTGGAGGATGGCGGTGAGGTCATGAGGGAGGAAAATAATGGAAAGGCGCAGCGGAGAGGGCAGAGCGACGAGGAGAGGCACAAGAAGAAGAGCTTGCAGGCGAGTGGGGGCAGCGGAGTGGGGAGGTGGGGCTTACATTTTTGTGAGGCTGGGGAGGGTGAGCATGAACGCAGGCACAGAGCCGGAGAGCCAGTTGTAAGAGAGATCGCTGTGAGCATGGGGCGTGGGGGAGCAGAAGCGGAGACACAGAGAGAGGCGGAACTTGAAGACACAGGGAAGGATATAGCGGAACAAAAGCAAGGAGAGCTGGACGCATGAGCAAATGCATGCTGTACAGCCCGCCTGCGCTGCCCACAGCGAGGCGGATCTATGCTTGGGTTGGAAAGATGCACAGAGGGGCGCCATGATTGCCACAGCTTCATGCACCACCAGCAGCAGCAGCAGCAGCAGCAGCAGCTATGGCGACGCACATGGATTTGAGGTTGGTGAGCAGGCGCAGCTGCGTGGCAACTTCGTCCAGACGGCCCTGGAAGAGGTTGGAGGTGAGGTCGCTGGGGGGAGGGGCAGCGGGATTGAGGAGAGAGAGTGAGGCGAGGGGCAGAGAGGAGAGAGAATGAGGAGAGGGGCAGAGAGGAGAGAGAGTGAGGAGGGGAGCGGAGAGGAGTGAACGAGGAGAGTGGGGGACATAAGTGGTCGGGCGCACTTTTGTTTTCGTGACGAAATAGATCTAGTGCAGAAGTGGACAACCAATGGCAAGCAAGGGCGGGCTACAGAGTCCGATTTGAGAAGTCAAGAGACAGTGAGCAGCAATGCAAGCAGGAGAGCATGGAAGCAACGGGCAGGGAGGCAGCAGGCAGGAGGCAGCGGGCAGGGAGGCGGCAGGCAGGGAGGCGGCTCACATGGCAGTGAGCGCAGTGAGGGTGGAGACGACGAGTGGCAGAGTGCCTGTGAGCTTGCTGTTGGGGAGTTGCCTGGTGGCCGCGGATGGAAGGCGTGCCACACACAAGGGGTGGGAGTGATAAGAGGGGGTGCATGAGAGCGATGAGCCCAAGACAAGGAGAAGGCACACCATGGACATGCAGCATGCAGAAAACAAAATGAGTGAGCAGAGGGCAGTGGCACTGGAAGTTGGGCAGAGCAAGAGCATCCAGAGAAAAGTGGCGCGCAGAGCAAGGGCAGGCGAGCAGAGATCAGTGGGGAAGAGGGCAGGGGAGAAGAGGGCAGTGCAGGCGGACTGACACGCTGACGACTCTGCCGGCGGAGTTGCAGAGCACGCCGTCCCACGTGCCGGTGATGGGCGCGGTGGGCGCCACGGTGCAGAAGGTGGCGGGCGCCCACGTGGTGAACGTCACCCCGATCGCAGCCTTCAGCGCCGCCAGCGCTACCGCTGCCATGCATCGTGGTAATGGGTGGAGAGAAGGAAAGTGGGGAGGGGAAGGGGGGAAATGGGGGGAGGGGAAAAGCGCGGGAGTGAAGAGTGAGGGTGGCACATGGCGTTGGGGGAGGTGAGGTGGTGCATGGAGGGGCGGGTGGGTGAGGAACGAACGATAGCACTATGTGCGACGAGACTCCACTTAGCAAACGGCAGGACATTGCACACAGGAGACGGCAGGGGTGTGAAACGCATGGGTAGAGAGCGGAAGCGCAGGCAGCATGGCGATCTGAGAGGAGGCACTCACCATCAACGCTGCTGATGTTGACCACAGGAGATCCTGCACCAGGCATTCAGAGGCATTCAGAGGCATTCAGAGGCATTCAGAGGCATTCCGAGGCATTCAGATGCATTCAGGGGCATTCAGAGGCAATATGAGGCAGTCAGAGGTATTCAGAAATATTGAGTGCATTGGGCCAAAAGTGTTATAGTCACAATAGGCTTGAATGTGCCTAAAACGAAAGATAGAGAGCACAGACGGATTTCTGCACAGCGGCTTCAAACGTTGATAGCGTTCTGCTCACAGCTGCAAATGACTTGATTCAAATTGGATCTGGAGCGTCTTCACGTCGTCTACAATTATCAATTTAGATTGCACGATTTGATAAAGAATTGACGACACAGCGTCGGTTTGAACGAACGGTACTATGGCAGCCACTATAGTCTTAGAACACAAGATAGGAAGAGTTACGAGTTGGGAATGACTCCCAGCTCCTACAAACCCCAAGAGCCGAGGTACAGTGATGTGGAACAGTGCCACACTGTCCCCAACCACGAAGGGTCTCGAAACTACCCTTCACTAGGGCCTACACCAAGTGAAATGTTACACTACACAAAGTAATGTAACTATCTTCAATATCTTGAGGTGTACCCTTTTGGCGAGCTTCGAAATCACTTGAGGCTTGACACCAAGGCTCGGGCTCTTCATCACAAACTCATCCTTGAGTTCTTGATGGGTCTGCTGCACACACCTGCGACACGCCGAACGTTCGACACAGGACAAAATAGAAACCGCGCACGACAAAATAGAAACCGCGCGCGAGACACAAACGACCGCGTAACACGCGTCTAGTGATAACTCGCTATTGACTCGACACACACACTCGACATCATGACTCAACATTCACACACAATTATAAGCATGAAATATATATATTATCCCATGCCCTCATACCATTCCATACACACACACATTCACGCACACGGACAACAAGCCGAGTGCAAACCGTAGGGTTGCACCAACAAACTCCCCCTCGGATTGTTGGCCTTAGGATATGTTGCTCTCTCAGTTCAGAGCCATCCCAGCCAGCTTGCAACACTTCCAATGCTGCTGCTCCACCAGCCTCTTGGTCATCATGTCAGCCGGCTGCCCCGTGGTCTTCACGTAGCGCAACTCAACTTCACCCGCGGTTACCATGCTCCTCGTCCAATGCCACTTCACCCTCATGTGCTTCGTGAGTCCATGCAACACAGGGTTCTTAGCAAGAGCAATGGCACCCTGGCTGTCACAGTACAGTGGGGTAGGTCCTTGCTGCTCCTCCCCCAATTCAGCCAACAAACGCCGCTGCCACACAATCTCCCGTACGGCACGGAAGAGTGCCATATACTCGGACTCCACCGAGCTCAAAGCTTGGTCAACCTGCTTCTTGCTCTCCCAAGCAGTTGGGCCTCCACCAACACAGCATATGAAGCCTCCCACACTTGTCATGTCCTCTGGTTCTGATGCATATGAAGCATCCGAGTAGGCGGTGAGGAACAAACGCCCGGGTTCAACACCATCCGTGCCCTTTTGGCGCCTTTGTGCCGCCGCCGAGTATTGCAGCCCAACGGTCGGTGTTTGGCCAAGATACTTGGCCACCCTCATTCCAGCTGCTACCTGCTCCTCATTAGGGCATTGCACAACCCTAGCCAGCTGCCCGGTAGCAAACGCGACGTCCGGCCGGGTGTTTACCGCCGCATACATGAGGCTGCCCACCAACGAGTGAAATCGGCGCCTCTCCTCTTCACCAACGCTCTCCTCCTCTGGTCCCTTTCACACACTTGAACCCAGAGGGAAAGGGTGTAGCCACATGGCCTTCACTCTGCCCAAAGTTGGCAGCCAATGCCTCCAGGTACTTTCGTTGATGCACCCGCATGCACCGCTTCTCCACATCTCGTTCGATGTGGAGCCCAAGGTAGAAGCTCACGTCACCAAGGGCCTTGCACTTGAACTTGTCTTGAAGCTTCAGCATCACCTCCTTCACAAGGTCAGAAGAGGGTGAGAAAATGAGGATGTCATCCACATAAACCACCATGAAACTCCTCTGCTCCCCCTCGCCAAGCATGAACAAGGAGTGATTGGCCGTTGAGGGAGTGAAGCCGATCCCCTCCAACACTTCGCGCAGCTTCATGTACCATTGCCTAGGGGCCTGCTTCAGCCCATAGAGGGCCTTCTTCAGCTTCCACACTCTGCCACTACCATCATCAAACCCCTCTGGCTGCGCCATAAAAATCTCCTCCTCAAGGATGCCGTTAAGGAATGCCGTTACGATGTCCATTTGCTTTACTACCCATCCTTTGATGGCGGCTCCCGCGAATAGGGTTCGCAGCGTCGTCGGCTTCACCACAGGGGCAAACAGCTCCTTGAAGTCCACCTTCTCCTTCTGCTGGTACCCCTTGGCTACAAGCCTAGACTTGTAGCGCTCGATCTTGCCGTCGGCATCCGACTTGATTTTGAAGAGCCACTTGGACGTTATCGCCGTACGCCCCTCCGGTAGCTCCACCAATTCAAACGTGTCATTCTCCTCGATGCTCTTCAGCTCACTCTCCATGGCCTTCTTCCACTCCTCAGCATCACTACTCTCCAAAGCCTCCTTGAGAGTTGCTGGTTCTCCCGGCATCTCCACCGGAGAGAAGAACGCGAAGGCACACTCCTCGTAGTCACTCTCCTCGTCGTCTCCGACCATCATTGCCGCTCCGGCCAGGGCTGTCTTGCCCTGCTTTCCCGGCGCATCATAGGTCAGCCTATTAGGGGGTTGAACTCTCCTCTTCCCCCTTCCTTCCTCCTCAGCTGCAGGGACTTGAAGGCCTTGGCGTTGCTGCGGTGTGGCTCGAATCCGTGGAGCACTCGTAGTACGGGAAGGGAGTGACGGTGCACGCTCGCTCACTTGCTGCACCTCCTCCTCTTCTTCCTCTGCATCATTGGCCTCCTCTCCCCCATTCACAAGGGAGGATTGCCTCGTGGTTGTGCTGCCGCTGCTCAGCTCCAAAGGCAGCTCCACATGCTCCAAACCGGAACTCTTCACCTCCCCAAACCGCACGCCTATCTTCGCCTCATTCTCCGCCTTCCAATCCTTGTACATGAAGTTCTCCATGAACTTGCAGTCCCTGCTCACCAAGAACTTCTTGGTGAATGGGTCCCAAAGAAGCCATCCCTTGCTGTTTTGAGCCATGCCCAAGTGCACGGCCCACACCGCCTTGGCACCAAGCTTGTTGTGCCGAAGATGCTTAGGCACGAGCGCCATGCACATGCACCCGAACACCCGAAGCATATCCACCTTTGGCTTCCTTCCTAGCCACTCCACATAGGGCACCCATTTGTCTGCTCCCACATGAGTCAAGGCTCTGTTCTTGGCCACACACGCGCTCCGCACCGCATCAGGCCAGAAATAGTCGGGTAGCCCGGCTTCAATGAGCAACCCGCGTGCCGCCTCCGTGATTGTGCGGTTCGCTCGCTCGGCGATGCCGTTCATTGCAGGGGAGTATGGCATGGTGAGGGAGTGCCGAATACCATTCTTCTTCAGCCACAACCCAAACTCCTTGCTCAGGAACTCTCCCCCTCGATCGGTGCGGATTGACTTGACTAGACGGTCTTGTTGCCGCTCCACCATCGGGAACCAATCCGTCTTCAACGTTTCAGCCACGTCGCTCTTCTTGGCCAGCACGTACACCCAAGTCATGCGGGTGTAGACGTCAACAATGGTGAGAAAATACTCAGCTCCAGCAGCTCCAAGCTTCAGGGGGCCCACCACGTCCATCACCACCTCATCAAGCGGTGCCTTTGCCGTTGCCTCCGAACTAGGGAACGGAAACCGGGTGAACTTGGCTTGAATGCACGTCGGGCAGCCAAGCACCTCATCGGGCTCCCCCTTCACACGTATGCCAGCAACCATCTCATTCTTCACTAGCTGCTGCAAGATGGGCAGGGCCACATGCCCCATGCGCCGATGCAAGGTGAGCCAATCACACTCCCCCGTAGCCGAAGTTGGATTGGAGAATGCCGCGCTCGCAATAGCGCCCCACATACTCTCTCCGTAGTCCTCCTCCGCTGCTGCCTCTGGGTTCTCCTCACCCTTTTGCTGCTCCTTAGGCATAGAGACCACTGGGATCTGCCACATCTCGTTGTAGACATCCCTGTCCTCATGAAGGTCCCAAAGAATTCGATCGCCAAGCCTTGCGGTGTAGGTCTTGGCTCCCTTCGAGTTCGTGTCCATGCCGGCCTTTGCCAACCGCCGCACGGAAATCAGGTTTGCAGCAAGGCTGGGCACCCAAAGCACGTTCTTGAGGCCCACCATCTTCCCATCAGCACCCTTGAACATGGCCTTGCCCATGCCTTTCACCTCTGCTCGCTGCCCCAAAGCCGATGTGACATGCTTCACCGGTGACGGCTCGAGTTCGGTGAGCAAGTCCGGGCGAGGTGTCATGCTATAGGTAGTGCAACTATCAATCATTCAATAGTCCAGGGGGTGTAGGGTCACCTTCCCCACAGCTGCTGGCTCCTCAAAGCCTTCATCCTTCTCTGGACCAGCCGGTACTTGCGTCGACACGAAGTAGAATAGACCCGGGTATCGATCGTCGCTCGGGTCCTTGTCGTTGTCTCCGCTCTTCATGTTTGCAGCTCCGCCACCGCGACCGCCACGGCCTCCACGGCCTCGTCCTCTCCCTCCTCCTGCTCCTCTACCCTCTTGGCCTTGAGCAGGGGTCCAACCATCAGGGAGTTTGTAGCAGTCGCGCCACATGTGTCCGCTCTTGTGGCAATAGTGACACTCGCCGTCGAATCGGCCGCGACCGCGTCCGTAGCTCTTGTCGTCGCTGCCGTAACCGCCACTCCTGCGGCCTCCGCCGAAGTTGCTGCCACCAAACCTTCCTCCCCCTCGTCCTCTGCCTCTTCCTCGACCATATCCACGGCCGATGCTCGCTGCCCCAGCGCCATCCGCACTCGCCAACTCACGGCGGCGGAAATCCTCTTGAAGGATAGCTCGCTTCACGTCTTCAAGCGAGAGGCGGGGCAAGTCGCGATTAAGGTTGATGATGAGCGAGGACCATGACTCTGGGAGTAAGGCCAGCAACTTGGTCTTCTTTTGGAGCTCACTGTAGTTCAAATCAGCTCCCTCAAGCCGCGTCAACAAGTCGAAGAATTTCTGCACCCCTTCTTCAACCGCTTCGTCTTCTTCAATTCGTAGTGCCGCCATTTGCCGTTCCAACACCACCGCTACCGCCGCTGTTGCAGGAGCATGTACACCCTTGAGAGCAGCCCATGCCTTTGGTCCTTTCTCTGGTTCACGCTGGAATGGCTTGATGTGACGGATCTGACTGCTCCCCAACGCTTGCCCAAGTAAGAGATAGCCTTGTGCGCTCTTCCGCATCCACGGGCTCTTCTCCGGGTCGTTCTCGGGGCGCTTCTCCGTTCCTTCCATCACCTCCAGCAGGTCATAGTGGTCAAAGATGTTCTCCATCTTGAAGGACCATTCAGCAAAGTTGTCACCGTTGAACTTGTCAAGCCCAAACACCCTAGGCTCATCCCTAGGTGGGCCAAGACTTGGTTGCATGGGCGCCATGGCTGAATCACGGGGTTGGCCTTGAGCTTGAGCTTCTCCACTGCCACCAGCACCTCTGCCACCCCTTTCCTCAGGTCCAGACATTGTCTAAACTGCTCCAAGGGGCTCTGATACCACTTGTTATAGTCACAATAGGCTTGAATGTGCCTAAAACGAAAGATAGAGAGCACAGACGGATTTCTGCACAGCGGCTTCAAACGTTGATAGCGTTCTGCTCACAGCTGCAAATGACTTGATTCAAATTGGATCTGGAGCGACTTCACGTCATCTACAATTATCAATTTAGATTGCACGATTTGATAAAGAATTGACGACACAGCGTCGGTTTGAACGAACGGTACTATGGCAGCCACTATAGTCTTAGAACACAAGATAGGAAGAGTTACGAGTTGGGAATGACTCTCAGCTCCTACAAACCCCAAGAGCCGAGGTACAGTGATGTGGAACAGTGCCACACTGTCCCCAACCACGAAGGGTCTCGAAACTACCCTTCACTAGGGCCTACACCAAGTGAAATGTTACACTACACAAAGTAATGTAACTATCTTCAATATCTTGAGGTGTACCCTTTTGGCGAGCTTCGAAATCACTTGAGGCTTGACACCAAGGCTCGGGCTCTTCATCACAAACTCATCCTTGAGTTCTTGATGGGTCTGCTGCACACACCTGCGACACGCCGAACGTTCGACACAGGACAAAATAGAAACCGTGCACGACAAAATAGAAACCGCGCGCGAGACACAAACGACCGCGTAACACGCGTCTAGCGATAACTCGCTATTGACTCGACACACACACTCGACATCATGACTCAACATTCACACACAATTATAAGCATGAAATATATATTATCCCATGCCCTCATACCATTCCATACACACACACATTCACGCACACGGACAACAAGCCGAGTGCAAACCGTAGGGTTGCACCAACACCCACGCCACTGGTGGTGCCACAGAAGGCACAATCTGTGGCAGAGCGCTGAGTGGAGCCACCGTTGGGGCACTTGGAGGGCGTGAGCAGGCAGTTAAAGTAGCCCCCACACCATGAGTAGCTGGCTGTGGGCACGTCCGTGACGAAGTTTCCTCGCACGTCCAGAGAGCGCAGCACAGGGCCGAGCGTGGGCACGGTGCCGATGAGATAGTTGTAGATAGCACCGCTGGTGATGGGGGGAGCAGCGAGGGGGCGGATGCATTAGGGGCTTCATCAGGAGGGGGCAGAGAGGACCAGAGGGCAAGGAACAGCAAGTGCCATGCACCTTCCTAACAGACTTACACCATAGCACGCAGCCATCCGGTACGTGCCTTCCTGACGGACTTACAACGAAGTGAGTTTCGGGAGGCCCACGAGGAACGAGGGGACTTCGCCGTACAAGTAGTTGTAGTGCAGAGCGCTGCGACAGGAGAAGAGACAGGTAGGGTGGTGATGAGATGAGTGGCAGCATGTGAAACAGAGGTTGGAAGATTGACAGAAATGAGAGTGGGTGAAAAGCTGAGGCGAGCCAAGACCATCATCATTCGCCTGCTCTCACCCCTCCTCCCGTGCCGGCCACGCCCTAGCAGGCACTCACAGGAGAACCAGCTCTGGCAAGGATCGGAGGTTGGTGGTGAAGGAGTCGAGGCGGTAGTTGAAGAGATTTCCCGGGAGGTTTCTGTGGGGGGATGGCGAGAGGAGGGTGCGGGAGGCATGGTGATTGCGCCACAGGTTGTTGAACCCTCGAGTGGATGCATCACGGCTTGACTGGGCAACTCGACACAGGTTGGGCCGCCCATTGCATTTGGCACAGCAGCCAATGCAGCAAGAGGGTGCATCAGCATTGACAAGCGGAGATTGAAGCAGTGTGAGAAGGGAGCAGAAGACGCTCACAAGTAGCTGAGAGATGTGAGCTTGGAGAAGTCAGCGTGAAGTGAGCCCTTGAGGCCGAGGCTGTTCAAACCCCTGGTGCATGCAGCAGTTGGTGGCAAAGTGTTGGGAGGGCACAAGCAACAAGAGCGGTCAGAGATGCACGAAAAGTTGAAGCAGGAGGATGACTGAGGGCACCGTGGTGTGGGTGGGGCGGAGGTGTGGGTGAGCGGGTGGTGTGGGTGAGGCGGGTGGTGAGGCAGAGGTGTGGGTGAGGCAGAGGTGTGGGTGAGGCAGAGGTGTGGGTGAGGCAGAGGTGTGGGTGGAGCGGTGGTGTGGGTGGGGCAGCGCTGCGCACTCACATGTCAGACACCTTGCCGCCCACGCAGGTGACGCCAGTCCACTCGCCCGCAACGGCCACGGCGGATCGAGCATAGCGGCATGGGTTGGTGGCGGTCCAAGTGGTGTAGGTCACACCCAGCGCGCTCTTGATGTTCTGCATGGCGGCGACTGCAGGGGTGGTAGATGGGGGTGCATGACATGGTGTGGGAAAAGGGAAAATTATGCTAAGAGGAGTGAGGAGCGGCACGCAGTGTGGTGTTGGGGACAGTGGAGGGATGAAGCGGAAGAGCACGGTGAGGAGTACGGTGAGGAGTACGGTGAGGAGCACGGTGAGGAGCACGGGGTGAGGAGCACAGGGTGAGGAGCACGGGGTGAGGGGCATGGGGTGAGGGGCACGGGGTGAGGAGCACGGTGAGGAGCACGGGTGAGGGGCACGGGGTGAGGAGCACGGTGAGGAGCACGGGGTGAGGAGCACGGGGTGAGGGGCACGGGGTGAGGGGCACGGGGTGAGGGGCACGGGGTGAGGAGCACGGGGTGAGGAGCACGGGGTGAGGAGCACGGGGTGAGGAGCACGGGGTGAGGAGCACAGGGTGAGGAGCACGGGGTGAGGAGCACGGGGTGAGGAGCACGGGGTGAGGAGCACGGGGTGAGGAGCACGGGGTGAGGAGCACGGGGTGAGGAGCACGGGGTGAGGAGCACGGGGTGAGGAGCACGGGGTGAGGAGCACGGGGTGAGGAGCACGGGGTGAGGAGCACGAGGTGAGGAGCATGGAGAGGAGACCGGTGAGGAGCACGCACAATCCACTGGATCCATTGTTATAGTCACAATAGGCTTGAATGTGCCTAAAACGAAAGATAGAGAGCACAGACGGATTTCTGCACAGCGGCTTCAAACGTTGATAGTGTTCTGCTCACAGCTGCAAATGACTTGATTCAAATTGGATCTGGAGCGTCTTCACGTCGTCTACAACTAGCAATTTAGATTGCACGATTTGATAAAGAATTGACGACACAGCGTCGGTTTGAACGAACGGTACTATGGCAGCCACTATAGTCTTAGAACACAAGATAGGAAGAGTTACGAGTTGGGAATGACTCCCAGCTCCTACAAACCCCAAGAGCCGAGGTACAGTGATGTGGAACAGTGCCACACTGTCCCCAACCACGAAGGGTCTCGAAACTACCCTTCACTAGGGCCTACACCAAGTGAAATGTTACACTACACAAAGTAATGTAACTATCTTCAATATCTTGAGGTGTACCCTTTTGGCAAGCTTCGAAATCACTTGAGGCTTGACACCAAGGCTCGGGCTCTTCATCACAAACTCATTCTTGAGTTCTTGATGGGTCTGCTGCACACACCTGCGACACGCCGAACGTTCGACACAGGACAAAATAGAAACCGCGCACGACAAAATAGAAACCGCGCGCGAGACACAAACGACCGCGTAACACGCGTCTAGCGATAACTCGCTATTGACTCGACACACACACTCGACATCATGACTCAACATTCACACACAATTATAAGCATGAAATATATATTATCCCATGCCCTCATACCATTCCATACACACACACATTCACGCACACGGACAACAAGCCGAGTGCAAACCGTAGGGTTGCACCAACATCCATGAGGAGCGAGCACGTCATGGGCAGTGCGGGCTGCGCCGGCAAGTTCACAGTGCCGGCACTAATGCGTGCACTCGCGTCCACCGTGCACACTCCGCCAGCCGTGCAGAAGGGCCCCACGGCGTTGGTGGTGCCGCAGGGGGCACAATCAGCCGCAGGCCGCTGACCCGAGCCGCCGCTGATGCACTTGGCGGCCGCTGTCACTGCTGCCATGCAGTTCCCGGCACAGCCGCACCACGTGTAGCTCGCTGTGGGCAGGTCCGTGAGGATGTTGCCTCGCACGTCGAGAGAGAGCAGCCACGGGCCGAGCGCGGGCACGGTGCCAATGAAGTAGTTGTAGTAAGCCACGCTGGCGCAGGGGGGAGGGCAGCGATGGGGCAGATGCATAAAGGGCTTCATAAGGAAGGAGTGCGCAGACAGGACCGGAGGCCAAGAAACTAGAGGTCGCATGCACGTTCAAAACAGCATGATGCAGCCATCCGGTACGTGCCTTCCCATCGGACTTACAGATTGGTGAGTTTCGGGAGGCCCACGAGAAACGAGGGAATTTCTCCCCACAAGTAGTTGTAGTGCAAGCGGCTGCACGGCGAGACAATCACGGCGGCGATGAGATGAGAAGCGCCGATCAGATAAGTAGCAGCATGTGGAACGGAGGGTGGAGGATCGAGAGAGAAACGGGAGTGAGTGAAAAGCCGAGGGGAGACAAGGCACATCATTTGCAGTGCGTTATACTGGAATCAGGGCCTAAGTTCGAGTCCCGGCTGGTTCGCATTTTTTGCCTGAGTGGTCGTAGCAATTGTGGTAACCCAGACTCGAGTCTAGCGGGGCGTTATACTCCAATTCTCACATGTCGGCCAGCACTGGCAAGGCTCGGAGGTTGGTGGTGAAGGAGTCGATGCGGTAGCTGAGGAGATTGTTCTGCATGTTGCTGTGGGAGAGGGGCGAGCAGGGCCAGAAGGTGCAAGAGGCACAGTCATTGCACTTGAGACTCTTCTTTGAGTGCAGCATGCTCGGCTAGGTAACCCTAGGAGCTCTGGGTACCCTGCCACGAAAGGAAGTATAAAGCAGCGGATATGACAGCGGAGAAGATTCTCATCACAGAGCGGATCTGAACAGCCACAGCAGGCGCAACTCACAGGTAGGTGAGAGCAGTGAGCGCGGAGACGTCGGAAGCCAGTGAGGCCTTGAGACCTCCGTTATTCAGGTCTCTGAAGTGCACAACAGTTAGTGAAAGTGCGATGGAGGACACACGCAAGGACGGGTGGGCAGATAAATACGGTATCCAGGTATGGCTGGAGATGGAAGCTATGGGTGTCACAGCAGTCAGAGGAAGCACACGATGGGCGAGTTGCCTCACATGCCCTTGGTAATAATCCTCGCCCACATGCCACAATGACATGCAATCATGTGAACCACCGGCAATGTGTATCATCTTGGGCAAGGTAGGCCGCGGTGAGACAGAGTTTGAGACAGCTGCACGTGACAGCTGCACGTGACACCTGCATTTGCCGCGTGCACTCACACTCCTGCCGTTGCTTGCACTCAAACCCCTGTCTTGCTGCCTGCACACACCCTGCCTTGCCGCTTGCACTCACACCCCTGCCTTGCTGCGTGCACTCACACCCCTGCCTTGCCGCCTGCACTCACACCCTGCCTTGCCGCTTGCACTCGCACCCCTACCTTTGCCGCTTGCACTCACACCCCTGCTTTGCCGCCTGCACTGCACTCCCACCCCTGCCTTGCTGCTTGCACCCACACCCATTCCTTGCCGCCTGCACACACCCTGCCTCGCCGCCAGCACTCACACCCTGCCTCACCGCCAGCACTCACACCCTGCCTCGCCGCCTGTACTCACATCGCGGCGATGCGACCATCAGCAGCGCAGCTCACGCGCTCCCACTCGCCAGCCACTGCAGCGGCGCCGTCAAGACGGCACGGGCTGGTGGAGGCCCACGTGGTGTAGGTCAGCCCCATGGCCGCCTTCATGTTCAGCAGGGCGGTCGCTGATGGGCGCGAGGGCGGGCGGCAGAGGAAGAGGGAAGGGGGACGGAAGCGGAAGGGAGGTGAGGGTAGGAATGCAAGAAAAGGACATGAGCCACGACAAGTACGCGCGCCAAGGCCTGGGCTTGAGCGTTTACAGCCGCGAGGGTAGGTGAACGGTGGAAGGAACGGAGTAGCAAATTTTAACACTCCAGTGAACAAAACGGGCATTTCAGAAGTCACAGCGGTGCGTACTGAACCGTCGTATCCACAGACTTGCAATAGAGTTTCTAAACGTTTTTTTTCTTTTTTCGAGGGTTGGAGGTCACTTCCAAGAATATCCAACCCCCAAGAAAGCAACCTCAAACTCGTCTGAGGACGCGTGGGCTGGATCATCAGATGGAGCGGGTTGAATCGAACACTTTCGACTCGGCGTGATATCTAGTACTGCCAGTACTAAACCCTGGCAGTGCCATCACGCATGGATGTTATTATGGTGAGGACACTATGAAACACCGCGTTTACTAGGACTACGGCTTCCACCTTGATCGGTCAGCATGACGACACTACTAGCGACGCCGTGGAGGTGGCTGGACAGTACTGCGAGCACGACCACCGCGACGAGGCGCACATGCCGCCCCCGGGTCGCCATGGCGACCATGCGCGTTCTTCCCCTACCGCTATAGTACTACTACTAGTAGTAGTACGAGGAACGACTCTAGCGTGCTGGATCTGGAGTACTGCCACAGCACAAACCACCGGAGGTGTTAGGAGAAAGCCCGCTTCGAATGGCCAAGGTAAGCACAACACTGCGAGGGAAATGCAAACTCCGCCTAAAAAATGAAGACCACTTTGTTTTGTGGCGATTACTATAGAGCACAACGTGAGAGAAATGCAAACCCTGCAGGAGGCACACTCAAGCAATGGAATCTCCCCGATGGTGAAGAACGTGAAGGTTGATTCCGAGGCCATTGCTGCTGGGCTGTTCGAGCGATTACTGTGCATAAGGTTCCCATTATCTTCAAATGCTGCCCAAGAAACTCTTTCTTTCTTTTGGCCTGGTGGTAGTGTATCGTTAAATTCGGCAGCCGACAGAAGCAGGGCGTTCGGAAAACACCAAAAATAAAAGTACATGTTGCAACATTTGTGAAAAAATCAACCAAGACCAGCAGGAAGCAGCTATACAAGATACGCAAAGGCGTCCCTATGACAATTGCATACCAGAGCTTTAGTGCTTACACTGTTGTCAATAGAGCCACAAGAGGCAAGTGGAAGAACCTGAAGGTATTTGGCAACATGGCTACAAAAACAGGCAACAATTGCCACGCATAAAAATCACGGGGAGGCGATTGATTCTGCAGGGAAGTGGAATGGAAGGTATCTGATCTGACCCTAACTAGTGGCAACGGTGTTGCACTTGCTTCCAACAAGAACAATCATCTCCACCAGTTAAACTGGCCGTTCCCGCCGACATTCCAGCAATCGTTCACATTTGTTTTTTCGAACCCTTATCCTTCTTCGGGGGACCCGTAGGGCTGTGCAAGACACGAAGCTGGCAAACCCGTGTCTCCCGGTTGCAACAAATCTGAAAGATGCACCTAAGCGCCAACAATTTCGGGGACTGCTCTCCAAGTGTGGGATTTGTATACATTCAAGGCGTTGTCTCCTGTGATTTCGAAATATGGTACATTGGAGATACAGTACGATAGTTCCCCACACCGTGAAAATGCTTATCTCACTTTCAATGCCCGCCTTTTGAAATAATGCCCGGTCATCCGCAAATGGTCTGCAGTCTACAGAATCGTCACTTTACTGTTCACAGGTTCGACGCACGACTCATCAAGTACAACTGATTCTCATTAGCTGGAACCTAGAGTTAGTACCAAATGAAGTTACATGTGTGCTTAGTCTTTTTCCTCCGTCGCCAATTTTGCCACTATAAAAATTGCTACTATAGCTTTTCAGGTGGTAAACATTCAAAACAAACTGACGAGAGCAGGTAGATGTCTCGATCCGCAGTTCACACCTGATGAATCTCGTTGACCACGTAAGTATAAGGTAGCAACCGCTGCCCGTTACGTGTTGCATAGTACTCGAATTATGTTTATATTCATGTTGTGACGCGATATATTTGGGCATTGAGTGCAGGCAGGCCTTCGCATCCGTCGCGCGTGAGTCGTTCGTCGTCGTGAGTCGTGTGACCCGGGGCACCGGAGAGGAGGTCCCAGATCCACAAGCCCACTGCTATTGCAAGGACGGTACGACTGTACAAGGGTGCGAGGAACAAGACCTTTTGCCCATCCATACGGACTCGTGGAGTGTCGTCAATTCCTTGTTAGTACTGTACTAGAGCGCCGCTACAGTACCGGAACTGAGCGCAACCGGAATTGAACAGTGGTTCTGGGCAGGGACAGAAATAAACACCTGGGGGACCTGGACAGATGAAGCCGCCCAGGGTTATGGTTGACGCCTCACCGAATCGATTCCGTTTCCGATGAAGGAATAGGTTTTTCTGCCTTGCCCGAAATTACTGCTCCGACTGCATATCCTAGACTGGGGTGCCTGAGCAGTGCTACACCTAGTCCGCGGTATATTAACCAAACGAGTGGGTAATAGTATATTTGTGCCCCCATTTATGATTTGCGCGCGAATGCGCGCGATCATATAGGTTTCCCATATGATCGCGCATATACTTTCGCCTGGCACGACTACTACTGCAATTTTTGTACCAATCTTCTAAAACTTGAGCAAATGGACGCCACCCGTGCAAAAAGTTTTTTTGAAACATGTTTCTGTAGCAAATCTCTCAAATGTTTTCAATTGATCGAGCACTGTTACTGAAAATATTCGCTTCGTGCACAGTTTTACCGCTTCCAGAGCAGTGCTTCTGTCCATTTTTCGCTCGGGCGCATAAAGAATTAGCTTTCAACGCATATTTGCTTTCATCGGTCCACTCATGGCACAGAATAGACGGACCGACGACTCTGCTTGGGTTGACAGCCAGCAAACCGTTAACGCTATATTTTCGAGCAGGAAATTCTAAATCCATCTCAGATGGCATCTAGTCGAGGGAATCATCAACCCTAAACAACAGGGCGATGCTCGGCAGCCAGGGGATACAGCGAGGGATGAAAGGCGGGAAATCGAAGCTAGGGTTTCTAGTTTGGATTGATCAACTTTGAGTCAACCGTTGTTGACTCCAAGTCTCGTGTCCATGCGCAAGCGGAATGTCTAGCGGGGGTGCGATTTGGGAACTGGGGGCTGACGAAACAGCAGCCGCGCGAATAGAAACTTCGTGAGATGAACAGTTGTTCTTCTGCCTGCCGCATTTACTGTTGCGAACTTATTGGGTGGGCGAATGCGACGCGGACGAAACCCTAGCGCGGGTTCGCGTCGCGTTTTCGGCCCACGCTCGACATGATTTCGTTTCTTTCTTGAACTGACTGTAGTGTTTTGCTTGGTTCATCATGGTCGAACCTGGAGGCCCAGTGTTTCCATGCTCCATCCCATCCCCCCATGTGGCTGCCGAACATTGCCCAGGTTGTTACGATGCCAAAGGGGACTTAGCCAGGATCACCTTATGTTGTTCGCACAGAGTTAATGCAGCGGAATTGACCTCAGATCAGAGTGAAGCATACAAGGGTTTATACAGGAAATACATGGAATGCGAAAGGTCCTAAACTAGCCATGTACTCTAAGGGGTACATTCCCTTATTGCAGCGAAAGTCAACCG